GAAGAGGAAAACAAGAAAAAAAAATATTGCCAGAACAGCAAGAGCGATCTGGCTTCTGGGATAGCTTCTTGCTGTTGTGGCTTATGGGATAGCCACATGCAGCCTCTCCTGGGCAGCGGGATGAAGGCTCCCTTTAAAGAGTGCGTGGGGCGTGCGTGCGGCTCTTGGGGGCTTTTCCCCTAGAAGGGAGAAGGGCAGCCCATCAGTCCCTTCTCCTTCCTCGGGGAAAAGCCTCCAAGAGCCGCACACACGCTCTACGCGGCTCTTTAAAGGGAGCGCTGAGCAGAGCCTCCTGTCTGCATTTGCTCCATAAGACGCACACACACTTCCCCTTATTTTTAGGAGGGGAAAAGTGCGTCTTATAGAGCGAAAAATACGGTAGTTGGCAGGGCGCAGCTGGCAGGCGTGCAGGGAAAGGGGAGGCTGCCGGCAAAGCTGCGCAAGTCCCCTACTCGCTAGGGCGCCCCTGAGAGGCCGGCCCCCTGGTGCAGAGAACCACTAAGACCAATGGGAAAGACGGCTTTGCATGGGTTGTTACCTCCACCTGCAATGACAGGGATTTATAAATTACTACCCGATGGGTGTGGCTACCTCCCAACTGGTTGTGTATCCACCTTATGATAGTTCCTTCTAATTTGCATTTATCCAATCTGCAGGTGAGCTGTCCTTGATAGACCAGCCGGTACATTCACAGCTCTGCTATTAATCATGAACACGCCCTGATGCCTCAGCAAGTTGGCCAACACAGTTGCATTTAAGAGCTGATGCAAAGATTGCTCATTGCAGCACACAGTCCCCGGCATCTCACAATTCCAGGGTGTGCTTTCTTTCCAATGCTGGCTGCCCAAATTGTGACCCACAACCAAATCCCAGGACCAATTCCACCCTTGTGTACTCAGTTACCTGTCAGCAAGCTCTGTTGAACTCAGTGGAGTTTAAGCAGGCATAAGATTGGGCAGTAAATGCCTGCCAATGTGTGTCTTCTTAGAATTAAGGTGGCAATTTGATGCATGCTTACACAGGAGTAGACGCGCTCTTGGCCTGATCCCGCAGGCTCTTCTTATGTTCCCCAAAACAGGACCTGAGTCCAAAAGCATCTCTCACCACCTGTTTCCCAGCAAAACTGACTTCAAGGGCGGAGTCCCCATCTGACTATACATTTAAAACACCATCATACCATTTTCTAAGGGACTCGGGTGGTGCTGTGGACTAAACCACAGAGCCTAGGACTTGTCGATCAGAAGGTCAGCGGTTCGAATCCCCGCAACGGGGTGAGCTCCCTGCTCCCACCAACCTAGCAGTTCGGAAGCACGTCAAAGTGCAAGTAGATCAATAGGTACTGCTCCAGTGGGAAGGAAAATGGCGTTTCCGTGCGCTGCTCTGGTTTGCCAGAAGCGGCTTAGTCCTGCTGGCCACATGACCCAGAAGCTGTACGCCGGCTCCCTTGGCCAGTAAAGCGAGATGAGCGCCACAACCCCAGAGTCGGTCACGACTGGACTTAATGGTCACGGGTCCCTTTACTTTTACATACCATTTTAAACAGGCATGGATTCTCCCAAAGAATCCTGGGACCTGTAGTTTGTTAAGACTGTTGTTAGGAGACCCTGTTCCCCTCCCTGCTCTACAACTCCCGGAGAGTTCCCTGGGAAGAGAGATTGATTGTTCAAACGTCTCTGGGAATTGTAGATCAGGGAAGGGAATAGGCGTCTCTCAGCAGGTCACTGCACCTGTAACAAACAACAAGGTCAAACTCAAGGTGCTCGTGTACAAAGTCCTAGGGACCAGTTTAACTATGAGGTCACCTTACCCCACAAATGCCCACTCATCTGGTTTCATCTGCAGAACTGGCCCTGTTCCACATTTGTAGGAAATCGATTTTTCCGAATGGCGGCACCTACACTTTGGAACTCCCTGCTTATTGACATCAGGTAGGCACCTTCACTGAACTCTTATTGGCACCTGCTAAAAGCATTTTTGTTCAGACAAGTCTACCCAAATGTTTATATTGAAGATTTCACTCCTCATTTATTGCTGGTGTTCATTTTTGGAATGTTTTGATTGCTTTTGCTAACAATTTTATTGTTTTATCGTTTTTGCAAACCATGTTGAGGCTGTTTTTCAGAATGCGGCAACTAGACTGGAGACTAGGAGCGGCCGCCGAGACCACATAATACCAGTCTTGAAAGACCTACATTGGCTCCCAGTACGTTTCCGGGCACAATTCAAAGTGTTGCTGCTGACCTTTAAAGCCCTAAACGGCCTCGGTCCAGTATATCTGAAGGAGTGTCTCCACTCCCATCGTTCAGCCCGGACACTGAGGTCCAGCACTGAGGGCCTTCTGGCAGTTCCCTCACTGTGAGAAGCGATGTTACAGGGAACCAGGCGGATGGCCTTCTTGGTAGTGGCTCCCGCCTTGTGGAACGCCCTCCCATCAGATGACAAAGAAATAAACAACTACAGTGGTACCTCAGGCTAAGAACTTAATTCATTCTGGAGGTTTGTTCTTAACCTGAAACTGTTCCTAACCTGAGGTATCACTTCAGCTAATGGGGCCTCCTGCTGCTGTGGCGCTGACGGAGCACGATTTCTGTTTTCATCCTGAAGCGAAGTTCTTAACCCAAGGTACTGTTTCTGGGTTAGCGGAGTCTGTAACCTGAAGTGTCTGTAACCTGAGGTACCACTGTATCTGACTTTTAGAAGACATCTGAAGGCAGCCCTATTTAGAAAAGTTTTTAATGACTGAAGTTTTAATATATTCTTAATATTTTGTTGGAAGCCACCCAGAGCGGCTTGGGAAACCCAGCCAGATGGGTGGAGGTATAAATAATAAATTATTTATTATTATTATTATTATTATTATTACATCATCATTGTATTATTATATTATTATTAATTATTATTATTATATTAAACAAACCAAGTGGTATATAGAGTTTATGAAATAATAATTAAATCACAGCCCTGGGGATTCTTTGGGGAAGCCATGATTATTTAAAGTTGCTGTATGCACAGTGCAGATGGGGCCCCAGCCATTGGGGCTAGTAGCCACAATAAGAACACGGCCCATCTATCCCAGCATCTCACAGAGGCCAACCAGGGAGCAGGATTCGAACACAAGAGCCCTTTCTCCCTTGCTGTGGTTTCCATTCCAACAATTACCGTATTTTTCGCTCCATAAAACGCACATTTTCCCTCTTAAAATCTAAGGGGAAATGTCTGTGCGTCTTATGGAGCGAGTGTGTGGTCCCTGGGGCTGGGGGGGGGGGGAACCTGGGCTTCCCCCACCGCCAGCCCCACAAACTCAGGGAGCAGCAGGAAGCCTCTGCCTGAAGCCTCCAGAGTGCAGCGGGAACTCTTTAGGGAAGCTTTTAATGTTTGATGTATTACAGTATTTTAATATTTTTTTGGAAGCCGCCCAGAGTGGCTGGGGAACCCCAGCCAGATGGGCGGAGTATAAATAATAAAATTATTATTATTATTATTATTATTATTACTACTACTATGGTTGGGTGCGTCCTATAGAGCGAAAAATACGGTAGTATTCAGAAGCATTTCCTGCCTCCAACTGTGGCTTGCAGCCATCCATAACCCTTTCTCTTTTAAAGCTATCACATCCTCCTGGGCTTCTCCCTCCTGAAATACAACAATAACGACTATTATTATTATTATTATTATTATTATTATTACCCCACCCATCTGACTGGGTTGCCTACTCTGGGCAGCTTCTAACATAATATAAAAACATAATAAACCACCAAACATTAAAAACTTCACTATGCAGGGCTGCATTCTAAAAGTTGTTTCCTGGACATCTGAACTGCTGCCTTCCCCAGCGCTTCTAATCATAGAATCATAGAATCATAGAGTTGGAAGAGACCACAAGGGCCATCGAGTCCAACCCCCTGCCAAGCAGGAAACACCATCAGAGCACTCCTGACATATGGTTGTCAAGCCTCTGCTTAAAGACCTCCAAAGAAGGAGACTCCACCACACTCCTTGGCAGCAAATTCCACTGTCGAACAGCTCTTACTGTCAGGAAGTTCTTCCTAATGTTTAGGTGGAATCTTCTTTCTTGTAGTTTGGATCCATTGCTCCGTGTCCGCTTCTCTGGAGCAGCAGAAAACAACCTTTCTCCCTCCTCTATGTGACATCCTTTTATATATTTGAACATGGCTATCATATCACCCCTTAACCTCCTCTTCTCCAGGCTAAACATGCCCAGCTCCCTTAGCCGTTCCTCATAAGGCATCGTTTCCAGGCCTTTGACCATTTTGGTTGCCCTCCTCTGGACACGTTCCAGTTTGTCAGTGTCCTTCTTGAACTGTGGTGCCCAGAACTGGACACAGTACTCCAGGTGAGGTCTGACCAGAGCAGAATACAGTGGCACTATTACTTCCCTTGATCTAGATGCTATACTCCTATTGATGCAGCCCAGAATTGCATTGGCTTTTTTAGCTGCCGCGTCACACTGTTGGCTCATATCAAGTTTGTGGTCAACCAAGACTCCTAGATCCTTTTCACATGTACTGCTCTCAAGCCAGGTGTCACCCATCTAATATTGGATAGCTTTCCGTGTCTCTATAGGAAATGTATGCTTTTGTTTGCATTCTACAATTTCCAATTCCCATTTAATTCGGCAAACCGAATGAATAATAATAATAATAATTTTTATTGATACCCCGCCCTCCCCAGCCAAGGCCGGGCTCAGGGCGGCTAACAAGCAATAATAAAAACAAGTTGATTGAATACAACTTAAAAACAAGATTAAAATACAACATTAAAATATTGAAACATTAAAATATTAAAATACAGCCTCATCACAGGAGGAGAAAGGAAAAAGAAAAAAGGGGAGGGAATCAAATTGACGCCAATGAAGGCTTGCGTCCGCTCCGAAATAGCACCGAGTGATGCAGTGCACGCATGCGGCTTCCTCGGGAGCAAGCGTGCGCCTGGCAACGTCCGGTGCGCCGGGCAGGCGGGGCCGGGCGGCTTCCTCCGCCAATGAGGCCGGGCCAGATCAGGCCGGGGAAACCCGCCGGCCGCGCCGCTCCTCGCCTGCGGGCCGGGCCGCACGTCCACCGGCAGGAGGCGGAGGCAGGAGGCGGGACGGAGCCGCCCCGCCGCCGGCGCCGGCGCTTCGGAGCTGAGCTACCCGGCAGAGCCACACTCGCGCGCAGCCATGCAGCCGCTTCTCGCCTTCCTCGTGCCTCTCCTCCTGGGCTGCGCAACTTGCGCGCAAGCGCCGGGCTCCGCCGAGCAGCGCTGCTTCTGCCAGGTGAGTGTCGCGCGCCCGCGCGCCCATCCGCGCGCTCCCCACCCTCGGCTGCCGCCGGTCCCGGGGCGCGCCTGGTGCGTAAAAACGCAGCGCCACGGGGCTTGCTCCAGAGGAAAGGGATCCGATCCGGTTGGGGGTTCGGGTTGCGCTGTAAACAGCCGAGGGGGAGAACTGGTCCCGGAGCCCCCATCCTCTGAAGGCACTCTGCACATGCTCAGGGCACGATGGCGGCCTGGATTCAGGAGCTGAATTGGTGATGGGTTGGAGACGTTCGGGGGTCGCGTTTCCTTCTCCACGCGCCTCCCCTTGGAAAGGTTTTTTTTGCTTTTTGGCTGAGCTTCTCTCGTTAGTCTTTAGGAGACGCAAATCACTGTTGATCTCTTTCTCCTTAATTACATTATTCATTGATGATTTGCATTGCTTAATGAGACTTGCGGTGGCGGTTCAGCTCCTCCTCGGCATGTCCTCAGTCCCAAAGGCGCTGCTCCTTACACCAGCTGCTAATTGCGCCTGCCTTCTTTCAATAAGAGCAGGGAACTCCCAGGGCGCAACCTGCCCATAACTGGCAGTGCGATCCTAAACATACTCAGCGGTAAATCCCGAAGAGCTATCTTTTCAGGAAGCGCGCCCGGGGTGGCAGAGCCTTGGTGCCTTTGGGAAGAAGGAAGGGGTGAAGAAAGGCAAGAACTGGGGTTACGCCCTGCCTTGGGAAGTGTTGCCGTTGGCTATAGAAGCTGAGACCCCTAAAAGTGTAGAAGTAGTAGTAGTAATAATAATAATAATAATAAATTTATGTATATGCCACCCATCTGACTGTGTTGCTCCAGCCACTCTGGGCAGCTCCTAACAAAAATTAGTAAACACACAATGCAACATCAAACACCAAAAACTTCCCTAGGTAGGTTGTGGTGGGTGCTCTGGATATGCCCAGAGGCACTCTCTTCTTCAGGGGTCACAACCTTTTTCAGCCGTGGGCTGGTCCACCGTCCCTCAGACCATGTGGTGGGCCGGAGTATACAGTGGTACCTCGGGTTACAGACGCTTCAGGTTACAGACTCCGCTAACCCAGAAATAGTGCCTCCGGTTAAGAACTTTGCTTCAGGATGAGAACAGAAATCGTGCTCCAGCGGCGTGGCAGCAGCAGGAGACCCCATTAGCTAAAGTGGTGCGTCAGGTTAAGAACAGTTTCAGGTTAAGAACGGACCTCAGGAATGAGTTAAGTACTTAACCTGAAGTACCACTGTATTTTGAAAAAAAATATGAACAAATTCCTATGCCCCACATATAACCCAGAGATGCATTTTAAATAAAAGCACACATTCTACTCATGTAAAAACACCAGGCAGGCCCCACAAATAACCCAGATACGCATTTTAAATAAAAGCACACAATCTACTCATGTAAAAACACGCTGATTCCCGGACCATCTGCAGGCCGGATTGAGAAGGCGATTGGGCCGCATCCGGCCCCTGGGCCTTAGGTTCCCTACCCCTGCTCTTCATTGTTACTTTGTACATTCCAAGCCCTACTTCAGGTCATGCCCTGTTCAGCCCTCATCCTGCCCCAGACATCACCTGCAGCACTCACTTTAATGGAACAGAGCCAGACTGTCTTATGGCAACCCTGTTATTTCAGACAATCTACCGGTACTTCCTAGTGGATCAGGCTTCAAACTGCTTGCTCAGTCTTTGACTGAGCAGGGGATCCAGACCTAGTATGGCAGCTTTCCCCAACCTCGTGCCCTTTTGTTGCTTTGGGCATCCCTAACTCACCGGCTTAGGGAAGGCTGGGATAGATTCCTGTCTCAGTTTTCTAATATTTTGCCTATGTGCCTTTTGCAAAATGAAATCGGATGCATAAGGTGGTATCCAACAAAGTAATACTGTCAGTGCGAGGACTTTCGGCTGTGGAGCAGAGCTTTCCGTCCTTTCTCTGTGCACCCCTTAAATTTGTTTTGGGGGTTCCCCTGAAAACCTCTGGAGCAGGCTTTGGAGAGGATGCAAGGGAACAGTTCTGTGGTGCAATTAGAAATCTTGCACTAACAGGACTGCTTCACTGGATGCCGCCCATAGAGTTGTAGTCTTGTAAACAGACAGTCGTTGCCCCAAATCCTCCTGGTTTGACTCTGATCTACTGTCCAGCTTTTCTTGAATTAACAATGCTTGCCATTTTAGCCGTAACAGTAATTTCTCCGTATTTTCTCCATGGCCTTCTCCTCCATCTGTTTGCTGAGTTCTTTTTATAGGGGGTGACTAAGACTAATAAGTTATTCCTCTGTCACTTGCAATGCTTTTTCTGTGTGTGTGTGTGTGTGTGTGTGTGTGTGGATGCCTGGAGTTCGTTAATATGTTCTTTTGAACTCTCTTAATGTGCAAATGACAGAGTGGTGGAGAAGGAAATGCGGAAGGTGTAAACAGAGGTGGCGTAGTGTGTGAGCAATTACGCCAGCCGTTCTGAAATGTGTCCTTTCCTGGGTGGTAGACAATACTAGACTGCGCTGCCTGGTGGAAAACCCCTCCCTGTGGGCTGTATTTACCCAGGAGAAATCTCCCTCGTAAATGTATTTACTCTTGAGAAGTTGCCCCTAAGTTGCCATTGAGCTGGTGGATTTATTTACCCTTTACCCAAAAGATCCCACCCAGGCTGGGTTGCATAGATCATAAAATCACATTGATCATAAAAAAAACACCTGCAAGAACATTCTGCATGTGATTGCCATGAAACGAGAGCAAAAATAATGGAGTGGCCAAACAGAGACAGCAACAAGTCTGGAAGTCAGTTGCTGGTAGCCACGGGAAGGGAGAGGGGTCTTGTGTTCGAATCCTGATTGCAGGTTTCCCAGAAGTGGCATCTGGTTGGCCAGTGTGAGAAAAGGTTGCGAAAAAGTGTGCATCCTCATCAACTGCTAGAAAGAGATTGACACGGGTTCAAGACAGGGCAGGTCTTTCCAAAGCTAGGGTCCTGCTGTTGCACTTGGCCATTGGGGGTTGCCCTCAGCTGCGGGTTGGAAAGTAAAGGTAAAGGGACCCCTGACCATTAGGTCCAGTCGTGGCCGACTCTGGAGTTGCGGCGCTCATCTCACTTTACTGGCCGAGGGAGCCGGCGTACAGCTTCCAGGTCATGTGGCCAGCATGACTTAGCCGCTTCTGGCGAACCAGAGCAGCGCACGGAAACGCCGTTTACCTTCCCGCCGGAGTGGTACCTATTTATCTACTTGCACTCTGACGTGCTTTTGAACTGCTAGGTCGCCAGGAGCAGGGACCGAGCGATGGGAGCTCACCCTGTCGCGGGGATTCGAACCGCCAACCTTCTGGGTGGGAACGCCCCCCCTAAAGATCCCGAGGCAAAGGCAAAACCGACATGGGAGAAACACCTGCCAAATATTTGGGTCCTTGGTTGTTATAGAGCAGAGCTTTCCAGACGTTTCACGTTTTTAGACCCACGTCATTTCGCGACACAGTAATTCAGTTTTACTAGCTAACTGGAGATTAAACTAACCTCTATCCAGCCCCAGGAGGAGTGCAGGGAGCATTCATTCGACACACCTACACACTCCAGCTGACACACAAATGTGTCGCTTTCCACCATTTGGAACGCTCTGCTTTAGGGCATCTTGAACGGGGCCGGATTTAGGTTTGATGAGGTCCTAAGCCAACCACGGCCCTCCAGATGTTTTGAGACCAATTCCCATCATCCCTGACAACTGGTCCTGCTAGCTAGGGATCATGGGAGTCGTAGGCCAAAAATCTGGAGGGCCAAGGTTGCCTATGCCTGCCCTAAGCAACTGAAGGTAATGGGGTCCTTTATATGTCCAGCTGTCCTTTGTCAACAAGAAATTGTCGCTGTTTTTTGTGTTGAATATATGCTGTAAGTAATTTATGGACCTAATAGGTATCTGTAGCCATTTGCACATAACAAAATGTGTGATATTTGAGGGAGCAGGCTAGCAGGTGTGGCCCATGACACATCATAGGAGCCTACACAACACAAACACTGTTGCTGTATGTAGGTTTTATTTTATTTTTATCCTATATTTTGGAAATGTACAGTGGTACCTCTGGATACCAAACTGCGGGAGGCAGTGGAAGACAGGAGTGCCTGGCGTGCTCTGGGGTCACGAAGAGTTGGACACGACTAACGACTAAACAACAACAACAACCTCTGGATACAAACGGGATCCATTCCGGAGCCCTGTTCGCATCCTGAAGTAAACATAACATGCGCCTGCGCATGCGCAGGTTGCGTTTCACAGATTTCGCACATGCACGTGATGTCATTTTGAGGGTCAGTGCATGCGTGAGCGGCGGAACCCGAAAGTAACGTGCTCCGTTACTTCCAGGTCGCCACGGAGCACAACCCGAAAATACTTAACTTGAATCTACTTCAACCCGAGGTATGACTGTACATCCAGGTTTTTCCCCCCTTTAAATTTGTTTTGGGGGCCCCCTAAGCTATAGCTTTAAAGGGACGTGGGTGGCGCTGTGGGTTAAACCACAGAGCCTAGGATTTGCTGATCAGAAGGTCGGCAGTTCAAATCCCCGCGACTGGGTGAGCTCCTGTTTCTCTGTCCCTGCTCCTGCCCACCTAGCAGTTCGAAAGCACGTCAAAGTGCACGTAGATCAATAGGTATCACTCCGGCGGGAAGGTAAATGCCGTTTCCTTGCGCTGCTCTGGTTCGCCAGAAGCGGCTTGGTCATTCTGGCCACATGACCCGGAAGCTGTACGCCGGCTCCCTTGGCCAATAAAGCGAGATGAGTGCTGCAACCCCAGAGTCGGTCACGACTGGTCTCAATGATCAGGGGTCCCTTTACCCTTAAGCTATAGCTTGTTTAGCTTATACGCAAATCCATAGCTGTCAACTTTCAGATTTGAAAGTAAGGGATCAGCAGCCTCACCTGTCCCGGGGACAGTCTACAGGATATCTAACAATCCGGGATAGCAGCGGGAAATGGCACTGGAATAAGGGAATTTCCCGCAAAAAAAAGGGAAGGTTGACAGCTATGCACAAATCCGGCACTGATCTTGAACAGGAAGCATGTCAGGTTTTGCATCTCTCTGGCGTTTGGAAACTTCCTCTTTGACCTGTGTGCTGCAAAGCCGCTTCCGAGATTTCCTGGGCTGGATGCAAGTGATCTCCCAAGGTGTGATTCTTGCATTTCATGGGGTTGTGCTAGCTGATCCTCTGTGATTCCATGAATGTGGGCAACTGGGAGGCCCACAGGTGGGATATATACCCTGACCCCCCACCCCCCAGTAGGGCCCAATGAAAAGTCCTGAAATGGGGCGTTCCAAGGGCAGGGGTGGGACTGAGCTAGCCTGGGATCTGGTGGATCCCAAACCGGTCTCGCAGTCATCCTGAGAGCAGGACCTCCACCTTCTGTTGCAGCTGCCATGCTCCATAAAGCCGCTCCAACACGATGGGGAGTTAGGATTGTGCCAAAGCTTCTGTTATTTCACCGCTGGGAGCAACTTGCAATTGTAGAAGCTGATAGAGGAGGACGGGATTCCATTTCCTTAAATTGCAACTTGACTTCCTTTCATATTTCAGAAAGAATTCTATATTGAGGTTTTAGGCAGGCCTGGTTTTCAGTCGCTGCTTGTCTGAGTGACAAACCTTGCAAGGTTGTTGTGAGAATATAGTGTACGCCTTGGGAGAGGGAGAAGTAAAAACACACCGGCGTTAAAAACTCCTTCGGGAGGAAGGGCAGGATATAAATTCAATAAATGAATAATAATAAAATAATACAAAATAGACGCCAAAAACATTTAAAAAATAAAAACACACGCATATTTCGTTGGTGGCGAGTGATTAAAAATAATAAATTCTTTATTTAGTTGATCGGTCTGGTGAATTAGAATCTAAAGATCGCTTTGCTTGGTCAGAGCTAGGTATGCCCAGTGTCCTTTTTCTGTCAGGTGACAGCTAAATTTCTCCAGTTGGCCATGATGAAAATGCGTCCTGTGTTTTCTGCTCAGCATCTGACTCCAACATCTGTAGGTACACTGGCACTGACCATGGAGGCTCAATTTAGTTGGGGGTGGGGGCCTAACAGACCTTGCTTTTTGACTCATCCTTTCATTTGAACATCACACCCAAGCTATTGTGCTGTTGCCACATCTCCAGGGAGTGCATTCTGCAAGTTAATTATGTGTTGTGTGTCTGTGCAAAAGTGCCTTGCTGCCAGCCGGTGTGTCTGCTGGGTGACTCATTTGCAAGGCTGGGAGGGGAGGAGAGCAGATTCCTTCTCTCCTGGAGAGAAAGAGAATGTGTGTATGTATCTTAGAGGTATAGAGGGGATACACCAGGGGTCAGCAAACTTTTTCATCAGGGGGCCTGTCCACTGTTCCTCAGACCTTGTGAGGAGCCGGACTATATTTTGGAAAAAAATAAATGAACAAATTCCCATGCCCCACAAATAACCCAGAGATGTATTTTAAATAAAAGCACACAATCTTTTACAGTCATACCTCGGGTTACAGCCGCTTCAGGTTGTGTTTTTTCGGGTTGCAGACTGCCGAAACCCGGAAGCACCGGAATGGGTTACTTCCGGGTTTCGGCGGTCACGCATGCGCAGAAGCACCGAATCGCAACCCGTGCCTGCGCAGACACGGGTTGCGAACGCTGTGGGTTGCGAACGTGCATCCCGCACTGATTACGTTCGCAACCTGAGCATCCACTGTATTTAAAATAAAATGTTAAAACACCAGGCAGGCCCAACAAACGACCCAGAGATGCATTTTAAATAAAAGGGCATATTCTACTCATGTGAAAACACACTAATTCCCGGACCATCCGCGGATGGATCCGGCCCCCGGGCCTTAAGTTTGCCTACCCATGGAATACACACCTTCTCTGTCTTCAATGAGATTGGAAAAGCCATGCATTTGAAAAACCCAGCCAGCTAAACCGGCCACCTGGAACACAACAGGTGAACAGGTGCCGGATTGCAGGCTGTGTCAACAACAGTCCTGGCCTAAAGTTGCCCAGTTGGCAACGCTTTGCATTTGACTAGGAAGTACAAGGAGAGGTTGAATAAGAAGCAGGCTGGGATTTGCATCTCTCTGGTGTTTGGCAACTTCCTTCCTGCCTACGTGCTGCCAGGCCACCTCTGAAGTTTCCTTTGCTGGAAGCAACTGCGCTCATAAAAGCTTCTCGAATTCAGTTTCTCCAGGGGGTGTTGCATCACGTTTGGGATCTCATGCCAACAATGGCAGGGCAGAAAAAGTGACCTGAAAGCTTTTTCTTTGAATGGCAAGGCTCCAGAGAGGGACAATTTCCTGCATGCATTGAAGCCTTTATTATTATTATTATTATTATTATTATTATTATTATTATTATTATTGCTGCTGCTGCAATTTCAGGCTGAGCTGAATCATAAATATAGTCTGCATTTGAGGGTTTGGTGTACTCCTGTAACCTGTACAGTGGTACCTCAGGTTAAGTACTTAATTCGTTCCGGAGGTCTGTTCTTAACCTGAAACTGTTCTTAACCTGAAGCACCACTTTAGCTAATGGGGCCTCCCGCTGCTGTCACGCCACCAGAGCCCGATTTCTGTTCTTATCCTGAAGCAAAGTTCTTAACCTGAAGCACTATTTCTGGGTTAGCGGAGTGTGTAACCTGAAGCGCATGTAACCTGAAGTGTATGTAATCCGAGGTACCACTGTAGTAGTACCAATGTTATATTAAAAAATAATTATCTAAAGACTTTGCAGGATAGATAGGACACTTCCATCACATATGATATGATACGATAATCTTTATTGTCATTGTCCCATACAGAACAACGAAGTTGAAAAAAATCTACATCAGACATTCAAAAACCAACAAGCCTGCTATCCCAGCCTGGTTAGCCCCCTAAAAACTCTGATACCCCATAAATAAATACAATATACTCCCATAGAGACTACCTCACACTGCATTTAAAACCAAAATTGCATTGGATAGAAACTGTTTCTCAGGCGGCTAGTCCTAGTCTTTATAACCCTGTAGGTCCTTGTACTGCCACATAAGGTACTTTCTAAAATTATGTCGTAGTGAAGCTAAATATAAAGCTTAAAGTGTGGGGGAATCAGGTGAGGCAGGGTGATATTTTTTTTGGGGGGGCAGGGGGAAGTAGCCAGAGTTGAGCCCCTCTGCCACTCAAAATCGCAGCCTCTTGATGATGCTTTTAAAAGGTAAAGGGACCCCTGACCATTAGGTCCAGTCGTGACCGACTCTGGGGTTGCGGCGCTCATCTCGCTTTATTGGCCGAGGGAGCCGGCATACAGCTTCCGGGTCATGTGGCCAGCAGAACTAAGCCGCTTCTGGCGAACCAGAGCAGCGCACGGAAATGCCGTTTACCTTCCCGCCAGAGCGGTACCTATTTATCTACTTGCACTTTGACGTGCTTTCGAACTGCTAGGTTGGCAGGAGCAGGGACCGAGCAATGGGAGTCACCCCGTCGCAGGGATTCGAACCGCCCACCTTCTGATCGGCAAGTCCTACGCTCTATGGTTTAACCCACAGCGCCACCCACGTCCCGATGATGCTTTTACTTACTTTTTTTTAAAGTTGGGGTTTCATTACACACACCTCTGTGTAACATTTAATTTACCCCGGTAGGTTTGTTTGAAAGGTGACCTGGATCGAGTATGTAAAGTACTTTCATCATTCCAGTACACATATAAATGTTAATTATGTTGTTGTTTTTGTTAGACGTCCCCTAATTATTTCGCTGCTTTCCAGTCCTCATTGCTTCTTAATTTCTCCTCAGGTGACTGGCCATTTGGACGACTGTACTTGCGACGTTGAGACTATTGACAGCTACAACAACCGCAAGATTTTCCCTAGCCTGCAGAAACTTTTGGAAAGCGATTATTTCAGATATTACGAGGTAATGCTTATACTTTTCTTTTTTTTAATACCCCCCCCCCCCGCCCCAATGCCTTGGCAAACCATTTCTCAAAAGAAAAAACTGCGCTTGCCTCATCGGAATGCATATCGTAAATCTAAAAGTTTTTTCATCTTTTCCTGACAAGTTAAAATCTCTTGCCTGGAACTAAAAATCCCCTAGACCAACCGAAGCATTTTCTGCCTTGATCTCTGCAGGTTAACCTAAAGAAGCCTTGTCCTTTTTGGAGCGACGACAGTCACTGTGGAATTAGAGACTGTGCTGTAAAGCCATGCCCATCGGTAAGTGCGAAACATCGCAGAATCACAGAAGGGACCACGAGGGGCATCTAGTCCAACCCCCTGGCATGCAGGAATCTTTTGGCCTAATGTGGGGCTCAAACTCATGAAACCCTGAGATTAAGAGTCTCATGTTCTGCGCAGCTTGCAGACTTATCTTTTTTTTTTTAAAAAAAATGATATTTATTAAAGTTTCAAAGAATACAAAAACATAAAATAAAAATACAAGAAAATACAAAATACAGAAAAAAAAAATAAAGTTTTTAAGATATAACAAAAGAAATAAAAATAAAAGGAAACATACAAAATAGAAACAATTAAAAACACATCGTTAGTTTTCCATAACATATCTTCCTTTCACTTATTTCCCCGGACCTCCTCGTACCTCCCTTTTTTGTATTCCAGTTCAGTTTGTTAGTTCAGCAAATCCTTACCATTAAGCTTTTACCCATTTATAAAACCTTTTTTCGTATCTCTTAAAGCATTGCAGCTGGAAACCACTTAGTTTCTATCCAACATCCTTCTAAAATTCCTTAATTTTACAATATTTATGTAAATAGTCTTTAAATTTCTTCCAGTCTTCTTTCACCGTCTCTTCTCCCTGGTCTCGGATTCTGCCAGTCATTTCCGCCAATTCCATGTAGTCAATCACCTTCATCTGCCATTCTTCCAGAGTGGGTAGATCTTGTGTCTTCCAATACTTTGCAATGAGTATTCTTGCTGCTGTTGTGGCATACATAAAAAAATTTCTGTCCTTCTTTGGCACCAATTGGCCGATGATGCCCAGGAGAAAGGCCTCTGGTTTCTTCAAGAAGGTATATTTAAATACCTTTTTCAATTCATTTATATCATCTCCCAGAAAGCCTTAACCTGTGCTCGCTTCGGCAGCACATATACTAAAATTGGAACGATACAGAGAAGATTAGCATGGCCCCTGCGCAGACTTATCATATACAATAAGAGAACAAGAAGAGCATACGTTTAGAGAAGATTGGAAAACGTTTATTGACTACATTGGGGGAAGGAAATTGTGTACAGTGGTACCTCGGGTTACATACGCTTCAGGTTACAGACTTCGCTAACCCAGAAATAATACCTTGGGTTAAGAACTTTGCTTCAGAATGAGAACAGAAATTGTACTTTGTCAGCGCGGTGGCAGCAGGAGGCCCCATTAGCTAAAGTGGTGCTTCAGGTTAAGAATAGCTTCGGGTTAAGAACGGACCTCCGGAACTAATTAAGTACTTAACCTGAGGTACCACTGTACACTGGAAAACGTTGGCAGCATTAAGATAAATTCAACAGTGCAAATAAGTTTTGATGGATGTCATAATGGAAAAAAGATTGGTATAGCTTATGTAAAATATGCAGGGATTTGTTGTTGTTTAATCATTTAGTTGTGTCCGACTCTCCGTGACCCCATGGACCAGAGCACGCCAGGCACTCCTGTCTTCCGCTGCCTCCCGCAGTTTGGTCAAACTCATGCTGGTAGCCTTGAGAACACTGTCCCACCATCTCGTCCTCTGGTGTCCCCTTCTCCTTGTGCCCTCCATCTTTCCCAACATCAGGGTCTTTTCCAGGGAGTCTTCTCTTCTCATGAGGTGGCCAAAGTCTTGGAGCCTCAGCTTCAGGATCTGTCCTTCCAGTGAGCACTCAGGGCTGATTTCCTTCAGAATGGAGAGGTTGGATCTTCTTGCAGTCCATGGGACTCTCAAGAGTCTCCTCCAGCACCAGAATTCAAAAGCATCCATTCTTCGGCGACCAGCCTTCTTTATGGTCCAGCTCTCACTTCCATACATCACTACTGGGAAAACCATAGCTTTTACTATATGGACCTTTGTTGGCAAGGTGATGTCTCTGCTTTTTAAGATGCTGTCTAGGTTTGTCATTGCTTTTCTCCCAAGAAGCAGGCGTCTTTTAATTCCGTGGCTCCTGTCACCATCTGCAATGATCATGGAGCCCAAGAAAGTAAAATCTCTCACTGCCTCCATTTCTTCCCCTTCTATTTGCCAGGAGGTGATGGGCCCAGTGGCCAGGATCTTCATTTTTTTGATGTTGAGCTTCAGACCATATTTTGTGCTCTCCTCTTTCACCCTCATTAAAAGGTTCTTTAATTCCTCCTCACTTTCTGCCATCAAGGTTGTGTCATCTGCATATCTGAGGCTGTTGATATTTCTTCCGGCAATCTTAATTCCGGCTTGGGATTCATCCAGCCCAGCCTTTTGCATGCAGGGATTTACAATTTTCAAAATGAAGAAGGGAAGTCACTGATTTTTAAAGGATGTTAAAAGGAGTATTTTAAATTGCTAAGCAGAAAAATTAATAAAAGACTTGAGGCAAGTGCCAAGCCCTAACACAGAACTGGCATCTCTTCTTACATTGTATGACATTCATTTGGGCAGATTCCTGTCTTGCGTTCGGATTAGGGACTCCTTGCACTGCAAGCAGATGCAATCAGGTTTGTGATTAGGGTTTCCTGCCAGGTTCTTGTCCCCAAACACAAGGTCTCGCTTGAGAGGAAGGAAGAGATATGTATTTAAAGGCTGCTGATGCCACAGGCTCAGTAGCAAGCAGAAGGCCTAGAAGTTGAGATCTGCGAGGAGAGGAGCACGGCCAGAGATTTGCAGCCGCCTTGAATCTCCGGTATCCAAGGACGCTGAATGTTAGAAGAATTGGGACAGATAAGAGAAAGGACTTATTCACCGCAGAGTTGATCTGTGGAACTCCCTGCCACAAGAGGCAGCGATACCCACCAGCTGAGATGGTTTTAAAAGACTGGATAAATTCATGGAGGAGAGGGCTGCTGATGGCTGTTAGCGCCTTCTCTTTCCTCCTCCTCCTCCTCCTGCTCTTCATCCATCTGGGGCTGCCAAACCGTGCCAAATCCTGGCAAGAGGGGACCGTGATAGCAAACCGCAAGTGGCGAGGGCAGGTGGAAACAGAGCCAAGCAAGGCCAGGGAGAAACAAGGGAGAAGGAGCTGAAGGACAGGGGTGCAGTTGAAATCCGTGCATCGCACGGGGTTTGACTCTGGGGGTCCCTTCTAATTCTACTATTCTTTGATTCTACGAAATTTACAGAATACCAAACAGGGAAAACCTGCACCAAAGCAGCCTAATAATAATAATAATAATAATAATAATAATATATTATTTGTACCCCGCCCATCTGGCTGGGCTTCTCCAGCCACTCTGGGCACCTTCCAACAAAGATTAAAAATACATTAAAATGTCACACATTAAAAACTTCCGTAAACAGGGCTGCCTTCAGATGTCTTCTAAATGTCAGGTAGTTGTTTATCTCTTTGACATCTGATGGGAGGGCGTTCCACAGAGCGGGCGCCACCACCGAGAAGGCCCTCTGCCTGGTTCCCTGTAGCTTTTCCTCTCGCAATGAGGAAACCGCCAGAAGGCCCTCAGAGCTGGACCTCAGTGTCCGGGCAGAACGATGGGGGTGGAGACGCTCCTTCAGGTAAACTGAGCCGAGGCCGTTTCTAATGATTGGATCCATTTATAATTATTGGCTCCTTCTCCCTAGCAGTGCTGTGGTTCTGCGCCCTGGCTCTGGTACCCTGAACCTTTTACCCCGGGCAAAGGGCTCTTTAATCCCTCCCTCCATCCCTTGAGAGCTGGAACTGAGGCCCTGGCAGACCCCCTCCCTCCTGAGGAATTTGGAGGCTTTCAGTTGGAGGCCTTTGCCAAATTGCTCTTGGGGACAGGAGTATCGCTATGGCTAATGAATGCTGGTTCAGGGATCTATATGAATGCCTTGGCCCAGTATACCTGAAGGAGTGTCTCCACCCTCATTGTCCAGCCCAGACACTGAGGTCCAGCACCGAGCGCCTTCTGGCGGTTCCCTCACTGCGAGAAGTAAGGTTACAGGGAACCAGGCAGAGGGCCTTCTCGGTGGTGGCACCCGCCCTGTGGAACGCCCTCCCACTAGATGTCAAAGAGAACAACAACTATTTGACTTTTAGAAGACACCTGAAGGCAGCCCTGTTTAGGGAAGCTTTTAGTGTTTGATATTTTATTCTGTTTTTCGTGTTCTGTTGGGAGCTGCCCAGAGTGGTTGGGGAAACCCAGCCAGATTGGCGGGGTATAAATAATAATAATAATAATAATAATAATAATAATAATAATACAGTGGTACCTCGGGCTAAGAACTTAATTTGTTCTGGAGATCCTTTCTTAACCTGAAACTGTTCTTAACTTGAAGCACCACTTTAGCTAATGGGGCCTCCCGCTGCCGCTGTGCCACTGGAGCACGATTTCTGTTCTCATCCTGAAGCAAAGTTCTTAACCTGAAGCACTATTTCTGGGTTAGCAGTGTCTGTAACTTGAAGCGTCTGTAACGTGATGTGTCTGTAACCCGAGGTACCACTGTAATAATAGGGGAAATGGCTTGCAGTGAAATGGGATTTTATTTTGCAACTTCTGTTTTCAGGATGAAGTCCCTGGCAGAATCAGGTCAGAGAGTCACAACAAGGTAAGTCCTGGGAGGGTCCCGGCCCAACGGAGCTACTGGACTGTGACCTAGTTCTGCCCTATCCTGGGGGAAGAATAATAGAATTGTAGAGTTGGAAGGGTCATCTAGTGCAGTGCAGGAATAGGCAGCTATCCCTTACGGGGATCGAACCTGCAACCTTGGCGTTATCAGCACCACGCTCTAACCAAATGAGCTACAAGCAGTTCATAGCTCTGTTGGTAGAGCACCTGCTTTGCATGTAGAAGGATCTCAGTGCAGTCCCCAGCATCTCCAGTTAGGGCCGGGACTGCCTGAAGCCCTGGAGAGCTGCTGCCAGCCAGTGTAGACAATATTGAGCTGGAAGGACCAAAGGCCTTGTCTCCGTATAAGGCAGCTTCCTTTGTTCCTGGCTATGGCATTTCTTTTTGGAAAAGAAATGAGGTGAGGTTTTTTGAGTCATCATGGCTGCCTAGCAAGCATCAGTTGAAGGTTTGGCCGGAAGTAGTAAGCACACACATACCTATTTATTTAATGCCGAGAATTTATATATACCGTTCGGGATGTGAGGTGAGAATAATCTCCGGAGAATATTCTCGAGAATGAGAATATTCTCTGCTAGGAAATTCTCCGGGGAATATTCTCCCCAAACTGTAAATTCTAATGTAAGAACCAGTTTTACAACCCACATTTTAAAAACCTAGTAATAAATCAAGCTGTGATATTGCTAGTGTAAGTAATGAATAATGATTTTTTTTTAATCCAGTTACATTACTGGGCATTGTGTCATTCACCATTGGCAGTTCTGAAATGTGAGCTACAGAAAACATTCTTTATTTTAGTTTTAAAAATGCTATTCATTTAATTTGATGAACATTTGAATGCGTATATATTTCAACTATATGTAAAGTTGATAGTAAATATACAGTTAGTGGCAGGCTTAGTGATTAACGTGAGTCATTCACATTGAATTTTCAATTTCAAGTTTGGTGCCAAAAAACCCAAAGAATGTGAATTCACTTCATTGCCCCATTGAATAAAAGTATCTGTTCAGTTTTTGGTTGCCATCGGAACAAGTTTACCCACGAATAAACATGTATACCTGAAGGAGCGTCTCCACCCCCATCGTTCTGCCCGGACGCTGAGGTCCAGCGCCGAGGGCCTTCTGGCGGTTCCCTCATTGCGAGAAGCAAAGCTACAGGGAACCAGGCAGAGGGCCTTCTTGGTAGTGGCGCCCGCCCTGTGGAACGCCCTCCCATCAGATGTCAAAGCAATAAATAACTACCTGACATTTAGAGGGCATCTTAAGGCAGCCCTGTTCAGGGAAGCTTTTAATCTGTGATATTTTACTGTATTTTTGTTTCTATGGAAGCCGCCCAGAGTGGCTGGGGAAACCCAGCCAGATGGGCGGGGTACAAATAATAAATTATTATTATTATTATTATTATTATTATTATTATTATTATAGTATATGAACTAATTATATCATTTTCAATGCATTAAAATTATATCATTTTCAATGCATTAAAATGAATATTCTCCTATTTTAAATGAAAATTTTCTAATATTCTCATTAATTTAACATTGCTATATACCATCAGTGGTGTAGCGTGGGGTGCAGAATGGTTAGGGGTGCAAAAGTTCAACATCCAGTTGTGTCGCTGGGCTCTGTTCAAAACGGCTTCCCCGTGCGAACCAGTGACATAACCAGACAATTCAACAACTCTTCTTATTTCTACAACTCCGATCTCCTGGGTAACACGGATGCCATTAGGCAGTTGAATGCGCATGCGTACGCCGTCCATTTCCCTCCCTCCAAACCCCATTCCTCCGCGTGGCCCCGAACGCTGGCAACCCACGTTATGCCACTGCCCACCATTCTTGGATTAGCTATTTCCGGGGCGTTCACGCCCATGAGATTTCACCAAACGCACCCTCTCTTTCCCCCACAAAAGTTGCTGCACCAAAACAATGGGAGAATGACCTAGGCTATGAGATGAACCCCACTCAATGGACAAGAATGTGGTCTAAACCCCCCCTTTAAATCCATATCAACGATAAGAAAAGAACTCACTCTAAAACTCACCTACAGGTGGTACCTAACACCAAGAAAACTAGCGCTAATATGCCCAGGAACCTCACCAAAATGCTGGAGAGGGTGCACCTCCACAGGCACATACCTCCACATGTGGTGGGAGTGTCCCAAAACCCAACTATTCTGGACAACAACCATACGAGAAATATGTAAAATAACTAAGCAAGTATTAGAAATCACCCCAGAATTGGCCTTGCCAAACATCTTCAAAGATAACAATGCCCATTTACACCACAAAGAACTCATAACCCACCTACTTTCAGCAGCCAGAAACACCATAACCAAACACTGGAGAGACCTGTCAGGAGTAAGCATGGACCACTGGTACCAAATAGTATGGGAAACAGCCCTACTAGAAAAATTAACCAATAAACTGAAACTGACACGGGAACAATAGAAGAAGACGCCTTCACCCCGGTATGGCTCCCCTTTATCACATACACAGCCCAACAAGACAATGACAAAAATCCACCGACAGCATACAAATCAATATGGCTAACCTGATCCAAACCCCCACCCCACCCCACTCACACACAAAAACAAAGATCACCACAGCCAACCACAAATGAACAACCACACCATAGGGCAGCCCCAACCTCTCTCACCACCAAAGGAACACAAGTGAACAGCAGAGAACCTGCACAAGCAACACAGACACCAAACCCCACATATATTAAGTAAAATAGAAACATCACCACCCGATCCCACCTCCACCCATCTTCGACCCCTCTCCCCCTTTTCTTCCTAACATCTCAACAAATGAAACTGATTTGTAAAAACGTTACATGGAAAAAATACAAGAGAGAGACATTACGCATACTTTTGTAAATCAAAAAATCTTTAATAAAAATACAAAAAAAAAAAGAGAGAAGTCACCGCACCAGTTTGGCTAGCTCATATAGCTGCGACGTGGGTGGTCTGGATAGGTGCAGATGTGACTTCCTGGGTGGTCCGTGGGCTGGCTGGTAGCTTTCTTCTGCCTTGGTTGGGTTTGGTGACTCCTGGTGGCCTTCTCCACGGCAGTGGACTCTAATCAGCTTGAAAGCAAACCTGTTGTTTTGCTTTGCAGTATTCTGAAACCGCTGCCCACCTCGCTGAGGACTGCGAAGAAGCTGAGAGACTTGGAGCCGTTGATGGATCCCTGAGGTGCGATGTCTTCATCTCGATAAACTGGGGCGGCCTGTGAGGCAGGGTAGCTGCTGGTGTTTATTAATCCCGAAAGCTGCAGAGACTTTCCTGCAAGCTCCCTTCTCACTGTTTTGAATCCCACGGGCGCCTGAATAATAATAATAATTATAATAATAATTTATTATTTATACCCCGCCATCTGGCTGGGCTTCCCCGGCCACTCTGGGCGGCTTCCAAAAGAATATTAAAATACTATAATACATGAAACATTAAAAGCTTCCCGAAACAGGGCTGCCTTCAGATGTCTTCTAAAAGCCTGGTAGTTGTTGTTGTCTTTGACATCTGGTGGGAGGGTGTTCCACAGGGAAGGCGCCACTACCGAGAAGGCCCTCTGCCTGGTTCCCTGTAACCTCACTTCTTGCAGTGAGGGAACCGCCAGAAGGCCCTCAGTGCTGGACCTGAGTGTCCGGGTAGAACGATGGGGGTGGAGACGCTCCTTCAGATATACTGGACCGAGGTCACTTAGGGCTTTAAAGGTCAGCACCAACACTTTGAATTGTGCTCGGAAACGTACTCGGAAACGAAGATCACAAAGGCGACAGGAAGCGTCCAAATCACACCTGCAAGGCCACATCTGCACCGCACACCTAAATCACTGCGATACCACTTTATAAACAGTCATGGCTCCCCCCAGAGAATCCTGGGAGTTTGTGCTGGGAGTTGTTCGGAGACCCCCTTTATTCCCCTCCCAGAGTGGTTTAAACCACCACCACCACCATTTTTTATTTGTATGCCGCCTTTCCACAGTTAAAAAAAACAATGCTCAAGGCGGCTTACAGCATAACAAGATTTACATAATTACAATAAATAAACCACATCAGAAAAATACACAACCAAATGGGAAACAATTTCCACATAAATCAAAATTGTATAGTTGGAAGGGACCACAGGGGTCACCTATAATGGTTATTTTATTATGATTATTTTACTATTAGGCTGTCTGTCATCATGTTTTTTTATAAGGTTTTTCTGTAATGTGTTTTTAATGTTGTACACCCGCCCTGGGAACTTCTGGTACAGGGCAGTATATAAATTGAATGATAATGGTAATAGTAATTATTGTTGTTGTTGTTACAGCCCTGTGCAATGTAGGAATATTTCGCCTACTTGGGGCTCGAATCTGTGCCCCTGAGATTAAGAGTTTCATCCTCTACCAAATGAGTTATTCCAATTGTTTTTAATATTATGTAATAATGCTATAACCTGGGACAAATGAAACATCTAGTGACAAATATTTTCTTGCTTGATTTGCAGTGAGGAAACGGCGAGGGCTGTGATTCGATGGACTCGGCACGATGATTCTGCAGACAGCTTTTGCGAAGTGGACGGTATTGGCTGTTGTGGTTTAACATGTTTCTGTCCCACCTTCCTCCCAAGTTGGGATATTTCCTGGGGGGTTTTTTGAACTCCTGCGCTTAACGCAGCTGGAAGAATTTTATTTTAAAAAACCCCAATTCTTCTAGACTCGTGTCGCGTAAATAGGGACAGCAGTGTTATTCGTTTGTTTGTTGCCTTGTTGCTGTTGATGTCAGCTTTTAAAAACCCTCGAATTAAACCCGGCTGGTGGAGGCAGGGGGACGTAAAAATTAAAAAGGAAGGCGTGTGGGGAGAGAGAGAGAGCAGGGCAAAGACGTAAATAGAGCTCATCAGTATGCCACATGCCCAGTCGTGTGGGGCAAACAATAGCTGTTCTCAGGCAATCGTTGTGCAGCTGTGGAACTCATTGCCACAGGAGACAGCAATGGCTAACAAGGGAATTAGGCAGATTCATGGAGGAGGAAAGGGCTATCAATGGCTGTTGTTGTTTAGTTGTTTAGTCGTGTCCGACTATTTGTGACCCCCTGGACCAGAGCACCCAGGCACTCCTGTCTTCCACTGCCTCCCGCAGTTTGGTCAAATTCATGCTGGTGGCTTCGAGAACACTGTCCCACCATCTCATTCTCTGTCGTCCCCTTCTCCTTGTGCCCTCCATCTTTCCCAGCATCAGGGTCTTTTCCAGGGAGTCTTCACTTCTCATGAGGTGGCCAAAGTATTGGAGCCTCAGCTTCAGGATCTGTCCTTCCAGTGAGCACTCAGGGCTGATTTCCTTCAGAATGGATCGGTTGGATCTTCTTGCGGTCCATGGGACTCTCAAGAGTCTCCTCTAGCACCAGAATTCAAAAGCATCAATTCTTCGGCGAACAGCCTTCTTGATGGTCCAGCTCTCACTTCCATACATCACTACTGGGAAAACCACAGCTTTAACTATACGGACCTTCGCTGAGGCAGCATAGTGTAGTGGTTAAGAGCGGTAGACTCGTAATCTGGTGAACCGGGTTCGATTCCCTGCTCCTCCACATGCAGCTGCTGGGTTACCTTGGGCTAGTAAATCAAAATATCAATGGCTACTAGCCAGAATAACTCTGCTCTGATTCCACAGTTGGAGGCATTGATGGAAACCACAGGAAGGGAGAGTTGCTCCTGTGCTCAAATCCTGATTGCAGGTTTCCCACAGGCATTTGGTTGGCAGCTGCCAGTACAGGATCCTGGACTAGATAGGGCATTGGCCAGATTCAACAGGCTCTTCCTATGTTCATAAGAACATATGGAATAACATATGAGATTTGGGTGGTGCACAGCGACAAGAGTATTGTTCGCCCAGGAGTGGAAGCAAGAAGAAATTCCGACGAAAGAAGAATGGCAGACGAAAGTAATGGACTATGCAGAATTGGACAAGATGACAGGAAGGATTCGAAACCTCTGGTGGGACCAGAGATTTGCAGAAGATTGGAAGAAGTATATGAACTATCTAAAGAGCAATTGCAACCAACAAATTACACTAGTAGGACTGCAAGAAGTTTTGTAAGGAGAAATATACGAAGTGTTACAAAGTAGAAAAAGATAGAGATATTGGTTATGAGTTTGAAATGTAATAGGGAAATTAAGAAATGCATACTAAGAGATTAGATTGGGAAATTTTCAGACAGGACTGATGGAAGTCAAAAAATTGAATAAGATGTAAAAGTAGGTTTAATTATTGTGGAAAATGGTATGTTAAAAAAACTAATAAAAATTATATATATATAAAAAAGGAGATTTGGGTGGTGCTGTGGTCTAAACCACTGAGCCTCTTGGGCTTGCCGATCAGAAGGTTGGCGGTTCGAATCCCTGAGACGGGGTGAGCTCCTGTTGCTCTATCCCAGCTCCTGCCAGCCTAGCAGTTCGAAAGCATACCAGTGCAAGGAGATAAATAGGTACCACTGCAGCAGGAAGGTAAATGGCATTTCCATGCACTCTGGCACTCGTCACAGTCCTCTGTGCGCCAGTAGCGGTTAGTCCTGCTAGCCACATGACCCGGAAAGCTGTCTGTGGACAAACGCCGGCTCCCTCAGCCTGAAAGCAAGATGAGCGCCGCAACCCCATAGTCGCCTTTGACTGGACTTAACCATCCAGAGGTCCTTTACCTTTAGTTTTACCTATGGAGTATCCACAGCTTTACAGGGACGCGGGTGGCGCTGTGGGTTAAACCACAGAGCCTAGGACTTGCCGATCAGAAGGTCGGCGGTTTGAATCCCCGCGACGGGGTGAGCTCCCGTTGCTCGGTCCCTGCTCCTGCCAACCTAGCAGTTTGAAAGCACGTCAGAGTGCAAGTAGATAAATAGGAACCGCTACGGCAGGAAGGTAAACGGCATTTCCGTGCGCCGCTCTGGTTCGCCAGAAGCGGCTTAGTCATGCTGGCCACATGACCTGGAAGCTGTACGCCGGCTTCCTCGGCCAATAAAGCGAGATGAGCGCCGCAACCCCAGAGTCGGTCACGACTGGACCTAATGGTCAGGGGTCCCTTTACCTTTATCCACAGCTTTACAGAGGTCAGTATCCTGTCCCTTTCTTGCAGGCTGAAATGCTACAGCTCTGCAACGGAGATATCGCATGAGTCTTCTTGCTTGAGCTCTCAGACCAGGCAATTTCAAAAGCAAGAAGGTTATTGGTGGGAGAACACATAGGAGCGAGGGAAGGAAGGAAATATGGGGACTGTTATTTACTTGTGGCTTCCCCCAAAGACAACATTTGATACAACCAACACAGTCCATAATCCTTGAAATGTTCCTAAAATGGAGTCTAAACCTTGGGCTGGTCACACTTCTCTGAAGTCTCTCAGCCCCGCTCACCTCACAGAGTGTTTGTTGTGGGGGAGGAAGGGAAAGGAGAACACAACATGAGAGTCAGCGTGGTGTAGTGGTTAAGAGAGGTGGACTCGTAATCTGGTGAGTCGGGTTCGCTTCCCCGCTCCTCCACATGCAGCTGCTGGGTGACCTTGGGCCAGTCACACTTCTCTGAAGTCTCTCAGCCTCACTCACCTCACATAGTATGTTTTTTTTGTGGGGGGGAGGAAGGGAAAGGAGAATGTTAGCTGCTTTGAGACTCCTTCGGGTAGTGATAAAGCGGGATATCAAATCCAAACTCCTCCTCTTCTTCTGTCTTTCTGATTAAAATACGGAAATGTCTTTTTTCTTAGATATCCAGTCTCCAGAAGCGGAGTACGTGGATTTGCTTCTCAATCCAGAAGGTTACACTGGCTACAAGGGACCTGAAGCCTGGAAAATCTGGAACAGCATCTATGAAGAAAACTGTTTCAAGTAGGTTCCTTTTGAGTGGCTGGATTCTGAGATTTATTAAATTAAAAACACACACACATCCTTTTACAGCCCATGGTTTCCTGCCATGGGGTTATTTGCTTGTTTATAAAATGCTTATCACCCAATAATAGAAAGCATAACTTTTGCTATCAAAAAAGTGCATGTGCTCTGCATGTTTTTATTGGAAGCCTTGTCTATTCATATGAATGTGTATAAGGTTATATCCAATTGTATAAATAGTCTGTAATTTTTTATTCAAACAAACAAGTTCAAAGTAATAGTAAAAACAGTCATAAAAGCAGGAAGAATAAAATTACAAGATAATAAGAAGAAGAAGAAGAAGAAAAAGAAGAGGTTGCATTTTATTTGAAATTGTATTTATATCTGTAACAACTTTTGCTTGCTTTTATATATGCAATAGTTGTTTTATATTTTTATTGTATTTTGCGGTCGCTTCAAAATGCCTCCTAGGAAGTGATTTGTTAATTAATTAATTACTAATGGATTGCATTTGCATTTGTAATAGCAATTATATTTTAAAACGTTTAAAAATACATTATAAATCATAAAAAAGCTTATCGCCTGCCTCTCAAATCTGCTTTCTTAGATGACCTTTAACAAAAAAATTAACATCCGTACGAGAAATAAAAGCAAAAAACAAACTAATCCTAAAGCAGCAGTAAAAGCAGCCAAATTGCAAAAAGTTTACAGCACCCAAAGACCCATAAAATAAGGCCACGGCAATCCTGACATGCGCCCATAATTTTAAATGTTTCAGTAGGAAAATACAAAGAACTCGGTTTAAAAGCTTGAACAAATAGGCTTTTGGCACCAGTGTAAAATGCTGTGATCATGGCAGGCGATAGGTTAAATGGTTAAGGGGTGGGTGTCCCAACTCCCGGGGGCCACAGCCAAAAAGACCCTGCTGTTTGCTGCTGTTTGCCTTTCTTCCATAGACTCAGGTGTTGAATTAAGATGTCGAATGACTATCTTGACAACTGGGCAAGATTCACAGTGGGGACTACAACTCCCATCACCCCCAGCCAGCGCAGCAAAGGCTGCCGCAATAAGCAGACTCTTTGCAGGCACCTGGCTCGCAATAATAATAATAATAATAATAATAATAATAATAATAATAATATAGTATTTATACCCCGCCCATCTGGCTGAGTTTCCCCAGTCACTCTGGGCGGCTTCCAATCAAATGTTAAAAACAGTGCAGCATTAAATATTAAAAACTTCTCTGAACAGGGCTGCCTTCAGATGTCTTTTAAAGATAGGATAGCTGCTTATTTCCTTCACATCTGGTGGTAGGGCATTCTACAGGGCGGGCGCCACTACCGAGAAGGCCCTCTGCCTGGTTCCCTGTAACCTCACTTCTCACAATGAGGGAACCGCCAGAAGGCCCTTGGAGCTGGACCTCAGTGTCCGGGCAGAATGATGGGGGTGGAGACGCTCCTTCAGGTATACTGGACCGAGGCCGTTTAGGGCTTTCAAGGTCAGCACCAACACTTTGAATTGTGCTCAGAAACATACTGGGAGCCAATGCAGATCTCTCAGAACCGGTGTTATGTGGTCTCGGCGGCCGCTCCCAGTCACCAGTCTAGCTGCCGCATTCTGGATTAATTGCAGTTTCCAGGTCACCTTCAAAGGTAGCCCCACGGAGAGCGCATTGCAGTAGTCCAAAACATGGGCTTTGTAAGTCTGCGTTCTGAATTGCCTCTAGAAACGGACGAGTTTCCTGTGAAGTTCTTTTAAAGAGTTGGCATGATGTGTTCCCTAACACATGATGGAAGGATTGTATCTCAGCTGTGAAATATTGGAATTGCGTACAGATTACTTTTGCCTTCAGAGCTTGAGCCAAGGGTAGCCTAGGATGGGGCCTTTTCGGTGGTGGCACCCTGTTGGTGGAAAGTCACCCAAGCAGAGATGTTCCTTTAGCAGGCAACAGTCAGCACGACTTTATTTCCCTGGCCTTTTTGGCAGAATGTTTGCTCTCTCCCACAGTCGATTGGCTTGTTTTAGTGATGGCTTTTTAATAGAGATCGTTTCTTTTCTTTTTTTCCAAATAATATTTATTATTTTCAGTAGATAAACATAGAAAAAAAAAGATTAACAATAATAAAAACAAAGAATAAAAGAAAAAAAGAAAAGAGAAAAAAGATACATACAGCATATTACCACTTAATTAATTAAAATTAAGTACCATCCATCTTCATAAACATAGTATTTGACTTCCTCGAATCTCTTCCATCCGAATTTCTTAGTAATTATATGTAGCAGTTTCCAATATCAGTGTTTCAAAAGACCATATCACAGTCCTAATCATATTACCGTACATAACTTTCTTTATCGTACATTTTCTTATTTATAAATTTAATTCCAGTTTAATCCTAGGCCTAATTGTTTCTTTCAAGTGGTTACATATCTTTAATATTACAATATTTATTCAAATAGTCTTTAAATTTCTTCTAGTCTTCTTGGTGTTCCTCTTCTTTCTGGTCGCGGATTCTCCCGGTGAGATCAGCCAGCTCCATAAACTCCATCATCTTCATTATTAGAGATCGTTTCTGGGGGGGAAATGTATGTCACCTGGAAATCTGATGGAATGGTGGAATACAAATGTCTTTTAAAAAATTAAAGCACCCTTTTGATTAATTTTTTTAAAAAATACTTCTTTGTCTCCTAGACCTCAGTCCGTAAAAAGGCCTTTAAATCCCTTGGCTTCTGGAAGAGGTGAGTTCATATTTTGTTTTACACTGCCTGCTTGATGGTGCTGTAAAATCAGTTTTTATAGAAATACAGGTTTTTTTAAAAAAATGGGGAAAGCAGCTGATACAAATGAGAGAATGGTTAAAGAGCCTGAAGATTTTGCCAGGTGTGCAGAAAGATAGCGAGGAATTCGGTTTGGAATTAGCCGCAGATTTCAGAATCCCCAGGGTTTCAATTTTCATTGAACCAAAAAGCAGAGTTTCTAGTCCCTGTGGATGCAAATCTAGACTTGAAAAGTATGCTGGCAATGGCTGTGTAGTGGCTGCATAAGATTCCCCGTTATGGTAGGATACAGTCAAATAAGAGAGGAAATGCAAATTTGTATAATAATGCAGGACTGGGATGCAGAATTTTAATACCTTATAAAGCAGAATACACTTAGTCCTCATCTTAGGTGGTCAGCCAAATAATCTAGACATGCAGGGGGAAGTTGTTGCTCCTTTTTGAAAGTGTAGTGTGAGTGGTAACATTATCTTTTTCTTAAATTTGCAGCTGCAGGAGAAAATGAAGGTGAGTCTCTCTCCAGCTGGGGCCACGAAGGACAAATTTCACGGAGGACAGAAAGCCTAGTTCCTGCTGTCAATTAATTCCATGTTCCATATTATTTCAACATAACTTTGAAATAAACAACTTATATCAAGTAAAGTAATATTCAATAATCCATTAGAATACAATAAAAAGGTAAAGGAGCCCTGACCGTTAAGTCCAGTCGCGGACGACTCTGGGGTTGCGTACTCATCTTGCTTTACAGGCTGAGGGAGCCGGCGTTTGTCTGCAGACAGCTTTCCAGGTCATGTGGCCAGCAGGACTAAGCCGCTTCTGGTGAACCAGAGCAGCGCACGGAAATGCCGTTTACCTTCCCGCTAGAAAGCGGTCCCTATTTACTTGCACTTTGACGTGCTTTCGAACTGCTAGGTTGGCTGGTACTGAGCAATGGGAGCTCACTCCATTGCAGGGATTTGAACCACCAACCTTACGATCTGTCCGCGAATGGTCCGGGAACCAGCGTGTTTTTACATGAGTAGAATGTGTCCTTTTATTTAAAATGCATCTCTGGGTTATTTGTGGGGCATAGGAATTCGATCATTTTTTTCCTTTTCAAAATATAATCCGGCCCCCCACAAGGTCTGAGGGACAGTGGACCGGCCCCCTGCTGAAAAAGTTTGCTGACCCCTGATATATAATGTCTGTGGCAGCAACTCTGTTCTGAAGCCTCCTAGGGCTGGAGAGCGAGGGGCGAGGCAGGTGGAAAAAGCCATCGCCTGACGGCCAGCACAAAACCTCTCTCCCCGGCTCCCATCGCTCTTGACCACTGGCCATGCCAGCTGCGGCCGATGGCAGTTGGACGCCAGCAGCATCTAGAAGCACCAGGGAAGTTGGAAGTCAGGTTCATAATCTGGGGCCAAGGTTCCCTTCAGTCTGAATCCTAGCAGGGCTGTTGTGTTTAGCCCAGCCTTTTCCAACTTGGAGTTGCGCTCGCTGTGGCTGATGGGACTTGTAGTTAATAATAATAATAATAATAATAATTTGTTATTTATACCCCGCCCGTCTGGCCGGGCCTCCCCAGCCACCCTGGGCGACTTCCAACAAAAGATTAAAATACAGTAGTCCATCAAACATTAAAAGCTTCCCTAAAAAGGGCTGCCTTCAGATGTCTTCTAAAAGTCTGGTAGTTGTTCTTCTCTTTGACATCTGGTGGGAGGGCGTTCCACAGGGCGGGTGCCACTACCAAGAAGGCCCTCTGCCTGGTTCCCTGTAACTTGGCTTCTCGCAGTGAGGGAACTGCCAGAAGGCCTTCAGAGCTGGACCTCAGTGTCCGGGCAGAACGATGGGGCTGGAGACGTTCCTTCAGGTATACTGGACTGAGACCGTTTAGGGCTTTCAAGGTCAACACCAACACTTTGAATTGTGCTCGGAAACGTACTGGGAGCCAGTGTAAAATATCTGGAAGAGGCAGAAGGTTGACAGAGGCCAATTACAACCTCTGCTTTGCATGCAACAAATGTGATTTTTTAAAACATTCACCTTTCTCTCATGGAAGAATCCTCCTGACTATTGTCTTGTTTCTGTATTTCCAGGGAACATGTTTTACAGCTGGCTGCAAGGTACCCACCTTTTCCTGTTTGCTTCGCTCTCGATAACCAAGGCAATATTGTATTATTTATTACAATGCTGTTATTAGTAGCACTAGCATTATTTTAACGTACAGTGGTGCCTCGCAAGACGAAATTAATCCGTTCCGCGAATCTCTTCGTCTAGCGGTTTCGTCGTCTTGCGAAGCAACCCTATTAGCGGCTTAGCGGCTTAGCGCTACTAGCGGTTTAGCTGCTATTAAAGGCTTAGCGGCTTAGCTGCTAAAAGGCTATTAGCGGCTTAGCGGCTTAGAAAAAGGGGGGGGAGCGGAAAAAAATCTCAAGACTCGCAAGACATTTTCGTCTTGCGAAGCAAGCCCATAGGGAAATTCGTCCTGCGAAGCAACTCAAAAACGGAAAACCCTTTCGTCTAGCGGGTTTTCCGTCTTGCGAGGCATTCGTCTTGCGGGGCACCACTGTATTACCTACCCTTCTTCCAAACTGCAGATTGCATCAGTTTAAAACACAGTATAGAAACCTACGCTGCATTTATTCCATTGCCCAATTTTTATACTCTCAGCTGCAGGTGTGCTCCCTTCCTTCCTTTTTCAATATCTCTGAATATTTCTTGCAGGTGTCTGTGTGGAGAAGAGGGCTTTCTACAGGCTCATTTCGGGCCTCCATGCCAGCATTAACATCCATCTCAGCGCCAGGTACCTTTTGGAAGGTACTGCATTCTAATTCCTTTGGGGAGGCTATTGTTTTTTTGCTTGTTTTGCTGTTACTTATTTTGTGTGCAGGACCGTCCTGCAGCCAATCGGAAGCTGCGCTGGACATCCGGCTTCCGGAAATCGTTCGAAAACTGGAACACTCACTTCCGGGTTTCGATCGTTCAGGAGCCAAGGCGTTCGGCTTCCAAGGTACAGTGGTACCTCGGAAGTCGAACGGAATCCGTTCCAGAAGTCCGTTCGACTTCCAAAATGTTCAGAAACCAAGGTGCGACTTCCGATTGGCTGCAGGAAGCTCCAATCGGAAGCCGCGTCGGATGTTTGGGTTTCAAAGAACATTCGCAAACCGGAACACTCGGTTTGCGGCATTCGGGAGCCAAAACATTCGACTCACAAGGCCTTCGCGAACCAAGGTATGACTGTATATAAATTTAACTAATAATAATACAGTCATACCTCAGGTTACAGATGCTTCAGGTTGTGTTTTTTCGGGTTGCGGGCTGCCGAAACCCGGAAGTACCAGAACAGGTTACTTCCGAGTCTCGGCAGTCGCGCATGCGCAGAAGTGCTAAATCGCACTTTGCGCATGTGCAGAAGCGCTGAATCACAACCAGCGCGTGTGCAGACGCAGGGTGCGAACGTGCATCCCGCATGGATCACGTTTGCAACCCGAGCGTCCACTGTACAGTGGTACCTCGGTTTAAGGACAGTCCTGTTTGAGAGCAATTCGGTTTACGAACTCCGCAAAACCAGAAGTAGTGTCCCGGTTTGCGAACTTACTTTGGTCTAAGAAGGGAATCCAAACGGTGGAAGGGCACCAAGGCCTCATTAGGGAAAGCGTGCCTCAGTTTAAGAACGGTTTCAGTTTAAGAACGGATTTCCGGAATGGATTAAGTTTGTAAACTGAGGTACCACTGCAATAGTAATAGTAATAATAATAATAATAATAATTTTTATTTATACCCCACCCTCCCCGGCCAGAGCCAGGCTCAGGGTGGCTAACACCAGTAAAATTACAGTAAAAACATAATAGGGGGGGAAAACACAATTTAAAATACAGGTTAAATGCAATTTAAATGCAGCCTTATTTTAAAAGTAGCCCATAGATCAAAACCCTAAGGGGAGGGAATGTTCCACATACTTCCAAGAAGGCTGAGAGTCCTTTGACGCCTTTCCTTTTTCCTTTCCCCAAGACACGTGGGCAGCCGAGCGTTGGGGCCACAACATCACGGAGTTCCAGCAGCGCTTTGATGAGGTCCTGACTCAGGGCGAGGGTCCCAGGCGGCTCAAGAATCTCTACTTCCTCTACCTGATAGAGCTGCGGGCCCTCTCCAAAGCCCTCCCGTACTTCCAGCGCCCCGATTTCCAGCTGTTCACGGGGGCCGAAAGCCAGGATGAAGAAACCAAGAGCCGCCTGTTGGAAATCCTGCATTTGACCAAGTAAGTGGCTTTGGCTTGAGGTCTCGTGGGTGGGAGGGGTTGGGGGGTGTCTTGAGGAAGGGGGAGGTGGCAGCAAGCTCTTTTGCTTGCTTTTTTATAATAATTTTTATTAGTTTGCAATTACAGTCCAATAATAGCCTCGTTATAAAGGTAAAGGGACCCCGACCATTAGGTCCAGTCGTGGCCGATTCTGGGGTTGCGGCGCTCATGTCGCTTTATTGGCCGAGGGAGCCGGCATACAGCTTCTGGGTCATGTGGCCAGCATGACTAAGCCGCTTCTGGCGAACCAGAGCAGCGCATGGAAACACCGTTTACCTTCCCACCGGAGTGGTACCTATTTATCTACTTGCACTTTGTGCTTTCGAACTGCTAGGTTGGCAGGAGCAGGGACCGAGCAACGGGAGCTCACCCCGCCACGGGGATTTGAACCGCCGACCTTCTGATCGGCAAGTCCTAGGCTCTGTGGTTTAACCCACAGCACCACCCGCATCCCTTTAGCCTCATTATAGCAATGCCATATTACAATACAATTGCTAATACCAATCATTCACATACCAAACTATATAATTTAGGTGCCCCCCACCCCACAAGCTAGAATTGAGGGTTTGATTATATTCTTTATTTCTGCGTTCCAAAATCTTATCAATTTTGATTACACTCCAGTCGAGAAGACCATCACTTAGACAACAACTGCAATATTAACAGCTTCCATTCGTGTCGACACATTAAATGGCTTATGAAACTACAAATGAGGCACTCAAAACTAAATCCTTCTTCTTCCTGTGTGTGGCACTTATTCTGTCTGTGACATTTCGTCCTGTCAAGCTATTTTGCTTTATGTGTGTGTTTTTCTCGGTGTGCAGAATTTGAATTACCTGGATGTAGTGATAGATTTGAGGCTGGTGAGGACATATTGCCATCTGTCTCATACGTGATGGGGCTTGCCCTCCCTCTGCTGCCAAATCTGTTCCAGAGGGACTCCCAATCCTCAAGAGCAGATTTGGGGGTTGGTTGGTGGAAGGGGGCTGCAGGGGGAGGGAGAACAGGCTAGTAAGGGCTGACATGGTAGAAGTTTATAAAACTATACATGGCCTGGAGAAATATAATAATAATAATAATAATAATAATAATAATAATAATAATAATTATTTATTTGTACCCTGCCCATCTGGCTGGGTTTCCCCAGCCACTCTGGGCGGCTTCCAACAAAAGATCAAAAATACATTAAAATGTCACACATTAAAAACTTCCCTAAACAGGGCTGCCTTCAGATGTCTTCTAAATGTCAGGTAGTTGTTTATCTCTTTGACATCTGCTGGGAGGGCATTCCACAGGGCGGACGCCACCACCGAGAAGGCCCTCTGCCTGGTTCACTGTAACTTGGCTTCTCGCAGGGAGGGAACCACCAGAAGGCCCTCGGCGCTGGACCTCAGTGTCCGGGCAGAACGATGGGGGTGGAGACGCTTCTTCAGGTATACTGGACCAAGGCCGTTTAGGGCTTTAAAGGTCAGCACCAACATTTTGAATTGTGTTTGGAAACGTACTGGGAGCCAATGCAGATCTCTCAGGACCGGTGTTATGTGGTCCTGGTGGCCGCCCCCAGTCACCAGTCTAGCTGCCGCATTCTAGATTAATTGCAGTTTCCGGGTCACCTTCAAAGGTAGCCCCACGTAGAGCGCATTGCAGTAGTCCAAGCGGGAGATAACCAGAGCATGCACCACTCTGCCAAGACTGTCTGCGGGCAGGGAGGGTCTCATCCTGCGTACCAGATGGAACTGGTAAACAGCTGCCCTGGACACAGAACTGACCTGCCCCTCCACGGACAGCTGTGAGTCCAAAATGACTCCCAGGCTGTGCACCTGGTCCTTCAGGGGCACAGTTGCCCCATTCAGGATCAGGGAGTCCTCCACACCAGCCCGCGGGCAGAGAAGTTTTTCTCCTCCTAACACTAGAACTGAACCTGAATGCTGGAACATTCAGGACAGAGGAAAGAAAAATCCTTCACGCAGTGCTGAGTTAAACTGTGGAACTAACTCCCTCCCACTGGAAACAGTGATGGCCACGAACTTGGATGGCTTTAAAAGAGGACTGGGCAAATTCCAGAGCAGGGGGCTATTGATGACTTCTAGCCAGGATGGCTCTTTTCTGTCTCCCTGGTTGATGGCAGCAATGCTTCTGAACACCAGTTGCTGGAAACCCCATTAGGGATGAGATGTTCTTGAGTTCGAATCCTGCTTCCTAGCTTCCTACAGATATCCGCCTGGCCCCTGCGAGAAGACTAGATGGGCCATTGGCTTGACCCTGCAGGCTCCTTTTATGTTTTTAAGCAACTAAACAGCACAGCAAATAGATAGGCTAACTTGCAGTTTTTTAATGACTCCGAAGGTATTGATTTTATACAGTGCTTTTTTTCTTTAAAAATGTTTAGGGGAACTCTCATTTCCTGCTCATATTGAAATACTGACCCTCAATGAGGCCAAACTTCGATTCACAAAATGTTTAGGGGTATGCGTTCCCCCCAGAAAAAAAGCACTGGTTTTTTGTAAACGGCGTGCCAACGAAGGACTCCAATTATAAACGATGTTTCGTTTCTGCTTTAGATCGTTCCCTTTGCACTTCAACGAAAATTCACTCTTTGCTGGGAGCCAAAAAGAAGCGGCTAAATTGAAGGTAAGATTCTGTCTCTGGTGGCAAACAAACATTTTTTTTGGGGGGGGGGCAAAATTTACTGTCTCTCTGCTGCAATTATGGCAATGATCGTTATGTGAAGGTTGGGGGGGGAATGGCTTCCTCCCCCATTATTTTCTGGATCTTCATATGTATAGGAGGTGACGTCTTCTACTCTGACTGCAGAAACTAGTGTGATGTTACTGTAAGGTTACCAGATTTTTTTTTCAAAGAATCCAGGGACACTTTTTAAAAAAAAAAAAAAAAGAGAAAAAAACATTTATTTTAAAAAAGTTAAAAAAAAGAAAAAAAGAAGTAATATCTTCTCTTCTGTGGTCTCCTCTATTGGGCTGCCTTCCTCTGGGTCCCAGCCTGCTCTCTTGGAGCACTAGCCGACGTGGAGTAGTCTCGGATCGGGCCTGGGCTCGGCCACGTGTCCTTGCCCTCCCAGTGCTCTCCTACCTCTCCCCTCTTTTTTCTCCTTCCTCTTTCTCTCTCTTCCTTCTCCTCCTCTCCTCCTTCTCCCTGCGTCAGCTCCAGGGTTTTCCTGGCCCCGGAGCGCCGCTGGGCAGTTGGACGGGTGGCCAGGCGCTCTTGCTCCCAGTTCAATTTGTGTCGTGGGGGGGCGTCAGCAGTTCCCCCAGTTGACACGCCGGGCGTTCCCAGTTCCCCTTGGCAGTGGCGGTGGTGGCAGCAGCAGTGGCAGCAGCCCGGAGCCAGCCTGGTAGCACAGTTGGCTCTGGCTGGCTTCAGGAGCTGCTCACTTCCGTGGTTGCATTTTGCCTTGCTGGAAGTCTAATAATAATAATAATAATAATTCATTATTTATATCCCACCCATCTGGTGTGTCTTGTGCCATTGAACCAATCATGCAACATTCATTCCCTACTAATAAATCTACAACACTTTAAATATAAATCCGGGGACATTAAATGAAATCCGGGGACAGATTTAGACCGGGGACAGATTTGTAAATCCGGGGATTGTCCCCGGGAAACGGGGACGTCTGGTATGTTGCTGAATATTCCATCGGCACCTGGGGGCGGCAGGGAGCCGTCGTTGACGAAATGTTCCATGTCCAACTTCTGTGAGGGAAGTGTAGCTGTCAGTTTGGCTGGGAGGAAAACAGCCCAGAGGCCACAGCAGGAGCTGTGTGGGATGGGTGGAGGTCTGGAAATTCCCAAAGGTGTGGAATTCAAGGGGCAGGAAGTCTAGGGCAGGGGTGGGCAGCCTGCGGCCCGGGGGTGTCAGGGCAGAGGGAAAGATGGGAGAAAGGGGTTGGCAGAGAGACAAAGATTTTCAACTCTATTCTCACTCCACTGCTCTCAAGTGGCCCCCTGATGGACTGCTCCAAAGGAATGTGGCCTTTGACGGAAAATAAGGCCCCCACACCAGGTCTAGAGGCAGGTTAGTCAACGGAAAGGGGGGTGAGGTAAGCAAGGGAGGTGCCTAAAATTTAAAGAAAAAAGATAATTCTTTCAGATCTGGTTTGTAAAATCACAGCAGTAGTTCGGACTGGGAAGTCCTAAAGGAGCAGAGAAGTGTGCTTGTATGCGTTGAATTCACACACGTTTATACGAACCAAATGCAACTGAGGGACTCCAAAATGTATTCTGCATACGGCAGGGTTTTTAATTGTCAGCATGGGTTTTTATTGTGAAATCACTTAAGATATTTCATGGGAAGTGATTCATGAAAGGAATGAATTAATTAATTAACAGAAGCTAAACATCCCAACCTGGAGTTTCTTAGCAATCGGGTTAAAGACAAACCAGTGGACTGCTTTCTAACGACATTTTCTTCTCTCTTTCCCTCCTTGCCAAACCAGGAAGAATTTAGACTCCATTTTAGGAACATTTCAAGGATTATGGACTGTGTTGGTTGCATCAAATGCCGTCTTTGGGGAAAGCTGCAAGTAAGTAACAGTCCCCATCTTTCCTTCCTCCCCTCGCTCCTCACAAAGATTTTTCATTCCTTTGCACATTTGCTGCAGGCTAATGCACACAGGTGGGACGCAGGTGGCACTGTGGGTTAAACCACAGAGCCTAGGACTTGCCGATCAGAAGGTTGGCGGTTTGAATCCCCGCTACGGGGTGAGCTCCCGTTGCTCGGTCCCTGCTTCTGCCAACTTAGCAGTTTGAAAGCACGTCAAAGTGCAAGTAGATCAATAGGTACCACTCCAGCGGGAAGGTAAACGGTGTTTCCGTGTGCTGCTCTGGTTCGCCAGAAGCAGCTTAGTCCTGCTGGCCATATGACCCGGAAGCTGTACGCTGGCTCCCTCAGCCAATAAAGTGAGATGAGCACTGCAACCCCAGAGTCGTCCGCGACTGGACCTAATGGTCAGGGGTCCCTTTACCTTTGCCTTTAATGCACACAGGTATAGTCTGCTAAGAACTTAAAAGTTTTGTTGTTGATCATCGCAAGCCACTCTGGGAACCTGTTTTGGCTGAAGGGCAAATACTTCAGTTTTTAATACTTAAAATAAGGCTTCCCTATCCTGGTGCTGTCCAGATGTTGTTTGACTATCACAGAATTATAGAATTATGGAATTGAAAGGGACCTTGAGGATCATCTAGCTCAGGCATAGGGAAACTCCAGCCCTCCAGATGTTTGGACTACAATTCCCATAATCCCTGACCACTGGTCCTGTTAGCTAGGGATGATGGGAACTGTAGTCCCAAACATCTGGAGGGCCAGAGTTTGCCTATGCCTGAATTCTAGTCCAACCCCCTGCAATGCAGGAATCTCAGCTAAAGCATCCATGACAGATGTCCATCCAGCCTCTTAAAAACCTCTAAGGAAGGAGAATCTTATCACCTCCCGAAGGAGACCATTCCACTATCAAACAGCTCTTACTGTCAGAATGTTTTTCCTGATGTATAGTTGAAATCTCCTTTCTTGTAACTTGAATCCATTGGGCTCAGGTGCTTTCTTCCAGATCAGGAGAATACAAGCCCTATAATTCCTTACTCTTTAGCCATGCTTGCTAGGGATGATGGGAGTTTAAGGTTCTAGCCAGGGGTGGAGATCCTCAAGGCCAGAGACTGAGTGTGGCCCTCCATGCCTCTATCTGGCCCTTGAAATTCTCCCCAGGCCACACCCCTTCATTGGCCCTGGACAGGTAGACGTAACCCAATTCTTGTTCCCATTGTGTACAGACTCAGGGCTTGGGAACAGCTCTGAAGATCCTGTTTTCTGAAAGCCTGATAGAAAACATGCCGGAGAAAGGACCCTCGCCCAAATTCCATCTAACGAGGCAGGAAATTGTGTCCCTCTTCAACGCCTTTGGAAGGTGAGTGTGAGGTTTCGTGTCTGGAAACCTGCAGCTTCAACATAGTTTTGTGCATGCAAAAACCGGAGACCCCAATTTGCTTGGAATTTTATGCAAGGTTATATACGGGAACTTGTATCCGCTCAGGCTGTGTATTCATCCCTTGGATGGGCTCTGCCTGCGCTGTTACAGGCATATTACCATACTTTTCCGTTTATAAGACGCCCCCTATTTTGGGACTCAAAATTAAGAAAATGGGGGGAGATTGCCCAGAGTTGTTGAGATTTGGGGGGGGGAGGGTGCCAAAAAACGCTCACGCGATGCAGAAGCCTCCAATCATATTTTCGCTCGCCGCCTCGTCTTATACACGGAAAAGTATGGTAATCTGCAAACATAGGACTAGAAACATGCTCGTTTATTTTCAAAAAAGAAAAGCAAGCTGCGATGCTCAGGGAGCCGAGTTCATTCTGGGGTTGTTGTTTTTTTGTGCCTCTGGGGAACTGCAGGGTGCAGACGGCTCTGCCTTTGGCTGTGTTTTGAGTCCAAAAGCTACCGTATTTTTCACTCTATAGGACGCACTTTTTCCCCTCCAAAAATGAAGGGGAAATGTGTGTGCGTCCTATGGGGCGAATGCAGGCTTTCGCTAAAGCCTGGAGAGCGAGGGGGGTTGGTGCGCACCCACCCCTCTCGCTCTCCAGGCTTCAGGAAGCTATCCGCAAGCCGTGGGAGAGCTGCGCACAGTCGCGCAGCTCTCCCACGGCTTGTGGAGAGCTGCCTGCACCCCGAAGCCTGGGGGGCGCTGAGCTCAGCGCGCCCCCAGGCTTCGGGCTTCGCGCAGCTCTCCCACGGCTTGTGGAGAGCTGCCTGTTCTGGGGGCTGGGGTCGGGGGAAGCTCGGGCTTCCCCAGCCCCACGCCTGGGGGGAAAATTCCCCCCCTTTATTTCCCCCCCCCCCCCCCAAAAAAACTAGGTGCGTCCTATCCTATGGGCCGGTGCGCCCTATGTGCCGAAAAATGCAGTACCTAAGATCACGCTCTTTCCCTCTTGTGTCTCCCAATTCAGGATTTCAACAAGTATTAAGGAACTGGAAAACTTCAGGAACCTGCTGAGACCTCTCCACTGAAGCCGTTTCCTGATAAAGACTGGCACTCCTGTTCTCCGCTGATGGTTGCTGCATCGTGGCCAGGCTAGCCCCCCAACCCCACCCCGATCTTGGCAAGAAGGGGGAGTGTGGGACTGTAAACCAGCAACCTTGCTTCCCCAGCTTGCGAGTTTTATACTGGCCACAACTCCCGATGCAAGACTTAATCTTCCAGGGCTTCCTGGTCCTGTCGTCTTTGTGATCTGCCATGCAGCGTCTTACGTGACCGAATCTCTCTCAATGGTGGAAGGCAAAACTCACCTCGGTTAAGTAATCCTCAGCCTGCAGTTTTCATTTAAGGATCTATGAAGTGCCTTTCTGGATCAGGCCCAAGCCCAGAGGTTCTTTGCAAGGATCCCAGTACGGTGCCACCTCTGTTTTAGGGGGTGCAATGGAGATACCGCTTCTGTGGGAAACCCTTGCTTTTGAACCATTTCATTTTAATTAGATGAGAGAACTGGCAGCTGCCCTTTAAAAAGACCCCCCCCCTCCAAATAAATGCAGTTAAACCCAAACACAAGTTAGCTCTAAAGCAGTGGGTAGCACTCCTCTTTGGGAGTTTTGGACTAGAATTCCCACCCAGTGGCGTATCGTGGAGAGGGTGGTGGTCCACAGGGGGGGTTGCCCTGGGAGCTAAATTTCAGCACTCGGTTCCATCACCGCTCCGTTGAAAATGGCTTGTCCATGCAAACCAGGAACTGGTGATGCACACTGTTAGGAAGTTGAACGCGCATGCATATTCAATCCATTTCCCTGCCTCTGCGCAGCCCCGGGCACCGGCAACCCACGCTAGGCCACCGCTCCCACCATCCTACCTAACCATTCACCGCACTGCCAGGAACTGGGAGTCCAAAACAGCCGGGAGGGGGCACCATGTTAACCATCCCTTGCTCTACAGTGCTGTATGGCACAGTCCTCAGGGAGGTACGGTATACGAAGCACACTCCCCAGGGAGATATCTCCATCTGAGCACACCTGGATACAGGCCAGATCTGGGCTAGGCAGAAATTTGCTCTGCTGCCCCAGGGATCTTCTGCTGGGTCAAAGATCTTCTCCCCTATTCTTTTGGGAAATCCTTACAAGAGCTCTGTAGTGTACCCTGGTCATAGGCCTGTGCTTCGGGTAAGCTGATAATCCGCAGTTGCAGACTGCCCTTAGAGCACAGTGTAAAGGTAAAGGTAAAGGGACCCCTGACCATTAGGTCCAGTCGTGGCCGACTCTGGGGTTGTGGCGCTCATCTCGCTTTATTGGCCGAGTGAGCCGGCGTACAGCTTCCGGGTCATGTGGCCAGCATGACTAAGCCGCTTCTGGCGAACCAGAGCAGCACACGGAAACGCCGTTTACCTTCCCGCCGGAGCGGTACCTGTTTATCTACTTGCACTTTGACGTGCTTTTGAAGTGCTAGGTTGGCAAGAGCAGGGACCGAGCAACAGGAGCTCACCCCGTCGCGGGGATTCAAACCGCCGATCTTCTGATCGGCAAGTCCTAGGCTCTGTGGTTTAACCCACAGCGCCACCCGCGTCCCTAGCTGCTATTAAAAGGCAAAATTATGTTGGATGTGACTTGATATCTTTTTCTAAGAGAAGGGTGACCTCCCATCAATCTTCATGGAGGTTAGAGTAACATTCTCCTCTTGTAACTCATGGGCACCCAAGGAAGCTGCAAGTTGGAAGAGTTAGGGTAGATAAAAGAAAGTGCCTCTTTGCACAGCACATAGTTAAGCCTGGAGAACTCGTTTGCATAGGAAGAAGCAATGACCACCAGCCTAGAGGGCTTTAAATGAGGATTACCGTATGCTCCGGCGTACAAGATAATAATAATAATAATAATTTATTATTTATACCCCGCCCATCTGGCTGGGCTTCCCCAGCCACTCTGGGCGGCTTCCAAAGAAAATATTAAAATACTGTAATACATCAAACATTAAAAACTTCCCTAAACAGGGCTGCCTTCAGATGTCTTCTAAATGTCAGGTAGCTGTTTATCTCTTTGACATCTGGTGGGAGGGCGTTCCACAGGGTGGGCGCCACTACCGAGAAGGCCCTCTGCCTGGTTCCCCGTAACTTGGCTTCTCGCAGCGAGGGAACCGCCAGAAGGCCCTTGGCACTGGACCTCAGTGTCCAGGCAGAATGATGGGGGTGGAGACACTCCTTCAGGTATACTGGATGAATTTTTATTCCTAGAAAATCACCCCAAAAGTTGGGGGTTGTCTTATACGCCGGGTATACACTTTGGGATGAAGAAGAGGGAGCTGGTGAGCAGAGGCGCCCCTTGTGCCGTCGCTACTCCTCCCTCCCCCAGAAGGGGACGCGGAAAGACCTTCCGAGTGCAGTGCTCACCCGCCCGCCCAACACCTCGCCTCGGGCTGCTGCTGTGACGGCAGAGGCAGCGGAGGGGTGTGCGCTTTGTCCCTGGCTGGCGCTCAAACTCTATAATTGAACAGCAAAAGTTGAGGGTTGTCTTATACGCCTAGTCGCCTAATACGCCGGAATCTACGGTAGGCAAGTTTATGGAGGAGAAGGCTACCAATGGTTACTATCCGACCAACAAAGGCTTCCCCTTCGGGCATCTGATTGGCCACTGCGTGAACAGGATGACGGGCCATTGGTCTGATCCAGGAAGGTGGTTCTTAGTATTTTTGGTCCCAGCACTGAACCTGAACTGTCCAAGTGCCCTGTTGGGTTTCCTCCGCCCAACCCTTCTCTCGCTGAAGAAGGGTTTGGATTTGATACCCTGCCTTTCACTCCCCTTAAGGAGTCTCAAAGCGGCTAACATTCTCCTTTCCCTTCCTCCCCCACAACACACACTCTGTGAGGCGAGTGGGGCTGAGAGACTTCAGAGAAGTGTGACTGGCCCAAGGTCACCCAGCAGCTGCATGTGGAGGAGCGGGGAAGCGAACCTGGTTCCCCAGATTACGAGTCTACCGCTCTTAACCACTACACCACACTGGCTCTCTGCTTAATGTTACCTCATTTGACAAAACGCTTCGCACTCTGGAACTGCTACGCTGGTCTCAGGAAAAAGAGAGAGGCTCCCGAATGATTTTTTACTGTGAATGTTAGCAGAGAAGGGCAACACCCGCCCCCAAATTTCTGTCCACTTCTCCTGAGAAAGCAGAAAGGAATTCCGAGCAATGATTTGTGCAACTGTACTCGATGTGCTGTGACCTGTAGGGGGAAGTGATGTGGAAAGGACTCAGGTTTGTAAAAAAACCCACAAATGTGCATGAATACAGAAGTGGGACATACAGACCTGAAACAGAACGCTCTTGCTCTTTCATTTTATTCTCCTGAATTTGCGTTGCAAAGGACTTTGGGTCCCTCTGAACTCTACAATTCTATGATTGCAAAGGGCTGGCTGGGTGAGCAAAATGATGTTCCTACACTGGTATGTTTCCTTGAAGAGATGGTTATTATTTATTTAATTAAATACAGTGGTACCTCTGGATGTGAACGGGATCCGTTCCGGAGGCCTGTTCGCATCCTGAAGCGAATGCTCCACATGGGTCGCGATTCGCCACTTCCACGCATGCGCATGACGTCATTTGGAGCGTCTGCGCATGCGGCGAAACCCAGAAGTAACACACTCGGTTACTTCCGGGTCGCCACAGAGCGTAACTTGAAAACGCTCAACCTGAAGCACATTCAACCCGAGGTATGACTGTACTGCCCTGTACCCTCAGGTCTCGAGGCGCTTCACAGATAAAATCAGAATATAAAACCACAAAGTACATAATCAAAATAAAAGGTAAAGGGACCCCTGACCATTAGGTCCAGTCGTGGCCGACTCTGGAGTTGCGGTGCTCATCTTGCTTTATTGGCCGAGGGAGCCGGCGTACAGCTTCCGGGTCATGTGGTCAGCATGACTAAGCCACTTCTGGTGAACCAGAGCAGCGCACGGAAACGCCGTTTACCTTCCCGCCGAAGCGGTACCTATTTATCTACTTGCACCTTTGACGTGCTTTCGAACTGCTAGGTTGGCAGGAGCAGGGACCGAGCAACGGGAGCTCACCCTGTCGTGGGGATTCGAACCGCCGACCTTCTGATCGGCAAGCCCTAGGCTCTGTGGTTTAACCCACAGCGCCACCCGTGTCCCAGTCAAAATAAAAACAACCACCCAAATAACAACTTCCCCCTTCCCCTGCAAAAGGAGCTCTAGGTGGTGACATGGTCTGCCTCATTTAATCCCCACAAAACCCCTGTGGGGTAGGGCTAGGCTGAGAGGCTGGCCCAGTGAGAGCTTCATAACTGAGTGGGGATTCGAACCTTGTTCTCCCAGGTCAAAGGCTAACCGCTAGACCGCACTGTTTCTCAGAGCTGACCCTTGGAAACTAGCAGCTCCCAAGGCTCCCCCCCCCCCAGCGGTAGGTGGGAATTGGCACATTCTTCATCCTGCCTCCAGCTATTTCCCCCAATCCTGCTAATTCCCCTCACTCCAAAAAACCTCTACATCCATCTGCTCCCCCTCCAGCTGTTTTGGTCTGTGCCACAGTAGCTGATGGGAGTTGTAGTCCAAAACAGCTGGAGAGCACCAGGTTAACAAAGGCTGATCTTTCAGGTACATGCAATTTATTTATTTTTTAAAAAGCATGCATTTTTGTTGAAATTATCAGGCATTGTGAACACACTGCCTTTGGGAGGGGAGCATCCGTGACCCATGGCAGAGAATTCCATTTCATGCCCCCCCCCTTTAAAAAATAGTCTACCACTCTAGGAGTCTGTGGTACAGATTTACCAGCTTTTGTTTACTACAACAACAACAATTATTTATACCCCGCCCATCTGGCTGAGTTTCCCCTGCCACTCTGGGCGGCTGCCAATCAAGTGTTAAAAACAGTACAGTGTTACATATTAAAAACTTCCCTAAAGAGGGCTGCCTTCAGATGACTTTTAAAAGTAAAATAGTTGTTTATTGCTTTGACATCTGCTGGGAGGGCGTTCCACAGGGCAGGCGCCACTACCGAGAAGGCCCTCTGCCTGGTTCCCTGTAACCTTACTTCTCGCAATGAGGGAACCGCCAGAAGGCCCTTTGCGCTGGATCTCAGTGTCCGGGCTGAACGATGGGGATGGAGACGCTCCTTCAGGTATACTGGACCAAGGCCGTTTAGGGCTTTAAAGGTCAGCACCAACACTTTGAATTGTGCTCGGAAACGTACTGGGAGCCAATGTATGTCTTTCAAGATCAGTGTTATGTGGTCCCGGCGGCTGCTCCCAGTCACCAGTCTAGCTGCCGCATTCTGGATTAATTGCAGTTTCCGGGTCACCTTCAAAGGTAGCCCCACGTAGAGTGCATTGCAGTAGTCCATGTAGGTTTTTTTTGTTTTGGTGCTTCTGCAGATTTCTCCATTCCCCGCCCCCCCGCCCTAGTTTTTTCCTCTCCATCGCCATGAGCCAGTCAGGAGGGCAATAATCCTAAACCCTCTCCTTCCACGAGTTGGGGCAAGCTGTAAAGGTTGAAGAGGAGCAAGAAAACCCAAAGCCGAGCCTTTGAAAACTCCCGTCTCACAAGATAAAAACAAACCTTTATTTTCAAAACATGAATGGCATTACAGTTCAGAGTGAAGGAGGTTTAAGCGTGGGGTACATTCATTAGGCGCAGCCAGCCGAGGGCTGAAGGGACAGCTGGCAAAATGGCGTCCCTCAAACCATACCACGAACGGGCGAACTCTCGCACATTGCAGGATTTCTCTGTTTAAATAAGAAGCTGTCCACGAGAACGAAAAGGGCGCCCACCTCTTGTCAGCCATCACTTATTCTCTGTTCTACAACCCCACCCCGCTGTCCTAACCGGCAGTGGCTCCGATGAGTGGGAAAGTTCAGCTTCAGTGCAAAATGTTGAATAAGGAGCTTGTAGCCCTTAACACAATGCCCTCCTCCCGCCTACAAAACAAAAATTATAAAGTGCTCCCAGTGCATTGTAAAACTCTTAAGCGGAAAAGAAAACGGGTGGGTGAGGGGGTGTTAACAGCGCGATCTGCCTTGGGTGGGTGAAGGAGGGCAGCACAGAGTTCGAGACATGACTTGCTTCACCCGAGTCAGGGATCAATTGATGCCGGGGTGGGGTGGGGTTCCTAGTCACACATTAGCTTGGGATAGGGAGGGAGAGAGAGCGCGCTTATCTTGACGCACAACGCCAATATGGCCTTTTTCAAGAGATGCTTAAAATTTGACAGCTGTCAAAATATCACATGTCGACACATGTTTATGAATCCGCCTCCCCCCCCCCCAGCAAAATGGCCACCCTGACAGGGCCCTGATGCAACGCTAAAAACCACAGTTTACTGTTGCAAGAGAACAGTTCGGGTGCTTTTCCCTACCGCAAAGCGCGACGTGAGGTTTCCTTCAAAACACAGTTTATGAAGCTGGCTTGTTCCAATCAGATTAGCCACAGGTTAGCACTCGGACACAATGCTAAACTGGTTAATTTAAATTTAAAAAAGCAGTGAAAGCTACATTGGAGGAGGAGAACACAAGTCTCTCAGGGTGGGGGCCCTAGGCTTGGCCCTGTAACACTAAACTAGAGTTTAATGCTATTATCTCAATCTGCAGCCACTCTTGAAAAGTTGCCAGCACTTCGGTGTGACTTCAAAAACTGGTGTAACATGTAGTTTTCCTTCTCAATCTGTGAACAGGAGATACACCCATTATTCCAGCCAGATATCCTCACGGGGTATCAGAATTAGCTTGCGAATTGAAAGGGACAGCTACACAGTTCTACCCCCGGGAAGATATCTTGAGGTCTGAAAAGCAAAAGAGCTGCTGGAATGAGAAATGTTTCTCTCCTAAACAAACGCTTACAGATGGCACCTGAAGTTTTGCTCCATGAGTACCTTGAGGCGGGGAAATATCCTTTTTGTCCTGGGGCTGTTAAGAGTCTGCTAATGGAGATGAACCTCCACACATTTCCCAAAGCAGCCTCTGAACTAAGTCCCAAAGAGCAGCAAAATGCCCTGGTTGGTCAGAGTGAGCTGAACAGAAAAAAAACAGAGTCAAGAAATCTATGCAAAGTCAAGAAATCTGGGGCAACCCAGCCCAATGGGCAAGGAATAAATAATAAAATCATTATTATTAATATTACACAAGAATTGCCTTGCCTACACTGGTTCTACCAAACGTCTGAATTTGTGAGCACAGTGCTAGGAATGGACAAACGTCTCCCAGCAAGTCTTTGGCAGGTTAGCGTCACTTGGGAGTGGAATTTGCTGACAACCTCGATGGCTTTAGGCCCCCAAAACAGCTACTCTGCAACACATGACCTCAGCCCAGGGGTGTTTCTTTGTGGGGGGGGGGTTGGACCCACCAGGTGCCGCTGAGCTACAGCTCCCATCAGTCCCAGCAAGCACGGCCAATGGCCAGGGATGTTGGGAACTATAGTCCAGTTGATGGGTGAAAGATTCCCCAGATCTCTGAAGAGGCTGAGCTGCAAGCAGATATTTGGGTGAAGAACTTGTGCAAGAACCTAAACTTGTTCGGGCCCTTTCGCAAGCACGACACCCCCCGACAAATTCTAAAATCGGCACTTTTTGCTGAAGTCACGTTCACTCCGAGAAGGCATGGCCAAACCTGGCCCTCCAGCTGTTTGGAGACTACAATTCCCATCATCCCTGACCACTGGTCCTGTTAGCTAGGGATGATGGGATTTGTAGTCTCCATACAGATGGAGGGCCAAGTTTGGAAAGATACTGCCTCCTACCTCTCAATGTTAGAGATAACTCACCTTGTTCTCGAACTGCCTGAGAAGCAGAATGCGTGCAACCTGGTGGAACAGAGAGCTCCAACTCTGGGTCTGAACTTCTACGCAATGGGGACATGTCTTCATTCCGTCACAAGGGAGCAGAATCAGATTTTTGCAGCCAGAAGGTGGTGGAAATGACCCAATATAAGAAGGGGTTCATCCAGCCTGCCTCTTGACCCTTAGGGAGTCTTCACTTCATCCCAATACTATCCACTCAAGAGTGTACATTCCCAGCTTGGATTTTTAAAAAACGGACGGATTGCAGCTTCTCTAGACAACACAGCTGTGTGCATTATAAACAGGCAACCGCCCCCTATCCCCTTCTCTGCTGAGAAGTATGACTGCCATGAACTGCAAAATCTTCCAGAAGATGCATCAATGGCTACACTTCTCTATTAAGAAGAAGCAGAGAGTAAAGGAGAAGAGAGAAAGTTTTCTTCAACTCTGCTAGAGAGTGCAACCAAACTTTTTCTCCATTGCAGATGTCAGTGCTATTTTGTGATTGCTAAGCAGTCCAAATGCTAACCGTGCTGCTTCCTGGCTGCTAAGCGAACCCTAAGAAGGCTCTCCCATCCCGGACCACACCTGTAGCTGGCTGGCTAAGAGCAGCCGAAATATCAACCTCAGCTGCTTCTGCAAAATCCCTAGGAAGCATGCAACTAGCCCTCATGGAGCCATTCTGTCTTAAAAAAAATAAAGCACCACTGAGTAACAGCTCTGCTTTCCCCAGTGTGTGAACCAAGTTTTTTAGTTTTATAAATCAATGCTCAACATTAGTCAGTCGGTCGCAAGGGGCTTCATACCACATGCAAAAAAAGATAGATATGAAGAACTGGCTTCAACAGCCCCAGGAATAAACAGATTGATAGTAAAGCATAGCTGCAAGGTAACTTAACCCTTGTGAGACCATGACACTTGTGCCACACTTGTTAACATTCTTTCGTTTTTGTGTGTTATGGTTTCCCCATTTTAAAACTCTGAAAAGTTTGGAAGCAAGGAATTCCCCACCCGACCCGAAACGTCCCCACCGTTAGTACGCAGAGATGCTCCAGTCATCGCAGGAAGACCGAACAAACTTCCCCAGCTATGGATGTGCAATTAAAAGAGTTACCCAGAACCGTCTTCCCGAGCTGATGGAGACAGTTGACTGGCAGGGAGAAGGAGCGTTCCTTGGGAAAGTTCGGTTAGAAGTGCAAATTATCAGCCATCAAGGTCTGCCAGCAAAGCTGTGCTGCTGTTTTCGGTTGCCAAGGTATTGTCCTCCTCTGGAAGGCCTGACCCACTGAAACGAAATACTTCTATAGGGCTGTGATTTGACCTTGCCGGCTTCCATCATTGCAAGTACCGTTTGGCAAGAAGAGTTGGCTTTGCAAAGCTCCCATCCTTCAGTTCCCACGTCCCGGAAACTTCGGGAGCCGCGCTAGGTATTTGGGGACCCAGCGGACAGCTGCCGCCTGAGTCCTGCGCACCTGGTTGGAGCCCTGCTCCGTCCGCGTCCCACCCAGGCGCAGCCCCCCAGAGGCGCGCGAGTTCCAGTCCTACGGCACCAGGCGGGGGTTCGGGTGGCTTCTCGAATCCAGGCTCCCGTGGGTGAAAAGCAGCGGGGCCACGTCCATCGGAGGGGCCACCAACGGCGGGATCATGACGCAGCTGTCGCTCCCCGTCAAGGAACCGTACCAGCCAGAGCTCTGGGGGGTAGCCAGGCTGCAGAGAAAGAAGAGGACAGGAGGGAAGTCCTGCGGGTCCGGGAAAACCAGTCTAAAACCAAATGCACCAATGAAGGAATGGGTTTCCCAAACCCAAAACTGACTGTGCAGGCAGTTTGAAACTGCACCAAAATCCCTATTTTTCCTTAGCTAAAATGCTTTAACTTGAGCTCATGAGCCAAAAACCCAGCTGTATAAACAAGTGCTCAGAGCCCTCTCCTTTATCAGTTTGTGATGGCAAGAATGGCCTTGACTGTACCAGTAGAACAGGGAAGACACGTCTGTGCCTGATCTTATATCCTGACCACAAAGGCGCACAGACCTAGTCTGGGAACAGCGACAGAGGGTGTTCTTGGAGACAGTGACCTCTTGCTCCAAGATAAGAGTAGGAACAGGAATACCCTTTTATGGTCAGGAGTACAGGAAGGAAAACCCTTTTATGGTTAAGAGTGCTGGAGCAGGAACATCTGTGATGTCAACCTGTGTGTACAAGCTGACGTGCTTGGATTCCTGGGGAAGGGGGAGAGGGTGCCTGGACGATATATATACTGCATGAAATTTCTCATTTCTTTGGACTTGCTGTGGACTGACCACCCAAGTGCCTCTCTGCTGTTCCGGAGAGCAGAAATAAAGAACTCTTTCTCTGAACCAACCCTCGGTGTCATTTGACTTCCTTCCTCCTGTCCGGGAGCAACGCAGACCCAATTGGTGAACTCCAATAAGGCTACACCTAAACCAGTGAATGGCCAAACTTGGCTCTCCAGCTGTTTGAGGACTACAATCCCCATCATCCCTGACCGCTGGTCCTGTTAGCTAGGGATGATGGGAGTTGTAGTCCCAAAACAGCTGGAGGGCCAAGTTTGGCCATGCCTGACCTAAACGGTCTTGGCCCAGTGTACCTGAAGGAGTATCTCTGCTCCCATTATCCAGCCTGGACACTTGAGGCCCAGCTCCAAGGGCTCTCTGGCAGTTCTCTTGCTGTGAGGCAGGATGGATAAAAATCAATGATTTTTTTTTAAATAAAAAAATGGATTTTTTAAAATTTAAATCGGATTTTTTAAATTTAAATCGAATTTTGTAATAAAATGCTTTTGGAGAAAAAATCTTTCTAAAGGTAGTTTTCTATTTAAGTTGCATTATAGTCTATTTAAGTTACGTACGTTTTTCACGTGTGCTAAAACTCAAGTCTCTTTTTAATAAAATTGTTTAACCACATCAATTAACAAACATGGATACATATGTTATATTGTTATTGTTTTAGTTAAACAAATTGTTAAAATTTTTAAGGAACTTATTATTTTTCTCCTTCCAATAAAATACAGCAGGAAAGTTATCCAAATATAAACAGTTAACTGATTAAACCTCACAATAATTTCATAATTACTTGTCTATGTATTTCTAATAGTATGACCAAATCAGTAAATTTTGATATTGTAAAAGCTACTCTGAAAATTTATTATTCCAAAAATGAAACCTTCATCTGGTTGTAAATATTAAGACTACCAGCAAGAATGAGAGTTTCTGTAAAAAAATAAATAAATAATGATTTAAATCAAGTCTTACTGACTAGTAATTTAAATCCATTTGATTAAAATCAAATCCACCCTGCTGTGAGATTATAGGGAACCAGGTAGAGGGCCTTCTCGGTAGTGGCACCCACCCTGTGGAACACCCGTCAATGAAATAAACAACTACACAACTTTCTAAAGCAGGCATAGGCAAACTCGGCCCTCCAGCTGTTTGGGGACTACAACTCCCATCATCCCTAGCTAACAGGACCAGTGGCCAGGGATGATGGGAATTATAGTCCCGAAAACATCTGGAGGGCCGAGTTCTATGCCTGTTCTAAAGCACGTGCCCTACCCACTGAGCTATACAGCCCTTCCCTACGCTTTGAAGTGGGCTGCCGACAAAACGCCCTCTCCCCCGTCAACCGCGCTACCTTCCTCCGCTGAGCCTCGGAAGATCGTCGTCACTGTCGTACCGCCTTGGATTGTCGAAGAAATAGGCGCGGGAGTTGTAGCTGTGGCTGTTTATCATTCCAGCCGGCGCCTGTTTGGTTAAAAGAGGCTGTTAGCCAAGTGAGCAAAACAGACAGCGATCTTAGAACATGGGTCTGGGATGCAGACAGTCTTGGGAAGCATCCCAGTTAGGGGGAGATGGGGAGGAAAGTCTCTTAATTTCCTTTTCCTCTTTCAGTGGGGGGGGGAAACCTTGCAGAATTTGCAACATTTGCTTTGATGTAAAAATGTGTGGAGCTTAGCATTAGCTGAAAAAATAACTCGTTAAACGAATGTGCTGCCAAAGGACTGTAGCACACAGCCCCCTGTTCTGGAGTAAGCATATCAGTATGGAATGAATGATGCTTTGCAGGGTTAAAGAAAGCGAAAAATGGTAGAAAAAAGAGGTAATATACATTAGACACAACAACCTAGAAAGAGTGAAAATTTTAAGGTCTTAGGAATAAAGGAAAGAAGTCAGTACACCGTATTTTGCACTTATAAGACGCACTTTCCCCCTCCTAAAAAGTACAGTGGTACCTGGGGTTACATACGCTTCAGGTTATAGACGCTTCAGGTTACAGACTCCGCTAATCCAGAAATATTACCTCAGGTTAAGAACTTTGCTTCAGGATGAGAACAGAAATTGTGCAGCGGCAGCGGGAGGCCCCGTTAGCTAAAGTGGTACCTCAGGTTAAGAACAGTTTCAGGTTAAGAACGGACCTCCAGAACGAATTAAGTACTTAACCCGAGGTACCACTGTAAGGGGAAATGTGTGTGGGTCTTATGGAGCGAATGCAGGTGGGAGGCTCTGCTCAGTGCTCTCTTTAAAGAGCTGCAAGGAGCGTGTGTGCGGTTCTTTGAGGCTTTTCCCCAAGGAGGGAGAAAGGCTGCCCTTCTCCCTCCTCGGGGAAAAGCCCCCAAGAGCCGCACCATAGCTGTCCCTTATTTGGCAGGAAAGTCCCTTATCCCAGCGCTGTGTCCCGCTGCTGTCCCTTATTGATGATGTCCCTTAAATTTTCCCGGTTTCAAAGGAAGCAGCTCCTCTCCCTCCCTCCCTGCCGGCCAGGGAGGAGGGAGGCTCCAACTGTGTTGCTTGGCTGCGTTGCTCACCCAATAAGGAGTCTAAGAACGACTGGGGGGTGGAGCTTGCATGCCTTGTGCCGATCAAATTGGCCACGTTGCCTGGGGACTCACCTTTGCTCAGCGCTTCCCAGCGGAGAGGTGACAGTGGTTTTCCTTGCTGCATCCCCTTTGCCGGGTTGCTGCGCTGTGGGAACCACCGCTTGAGGCTTCGTTTGGCTGCTGGCTGGGCTTTCTGCCTTTGGCTTGGAGGGGCTCAGAAGTTGAACATACCTGCACTCTGAAAATCCCTTATTTTGGCTGCTGATCCCTTATTTTCGAGGCTGCCGGTCCCTTATTTTCAAATCAGTAAGTTGACAGCTATGGAGCCGCACACAAACTCATCGCCTTCCTTAAAGGGAGCGCGGCTCTTGGGGGAGCCTTAGCCGTGCGTAGCCTCTCCCGGGCAAGGGGAGCCTTCATCCCACTGCCCTGTGGAGGCTTCACATGGCTATCCCTGGCATTTGCGGGAGGTAGGTGAAGGGACAGAGTGAGCGGCTCTGTCCCTTCCCCCACCTCCCAGAAAAGCCCCCAAGAGCCGTGCTCCCTTTAAAGAGCACACGGCTCTTGCGGGAGGTGGAGGGAAAGCCAGGAGGCTTGCTTGCGCTGGAGCCAGGAGGGCAAGAGGGATCAGTGCGCCCCGATCCCGCTTGCTCTCCTGGCTTCAGGGATAGCCCTGCAAAGCCTCCTGAGCGAAGATGGAATAGCGTTCCCTCTTAGCTCAGGATGATTTGCGTTCCTTTCTTATTTCTCGTTTTCCTCCCCTAAAAACTAGGTGCGTCTTATGGTCCGGTGCGTCTAATACAGCGAAAAATACGGTGTGTATGTAATGATTAGATTAGAATGATTATATGCTTTTATTTGTAGATGTGTGTTTCTGTTTTTTGTGTTCTTTTTTCCTCTTGTGTTTTTTTCCCTTGTTTGTACTGTTTTATTTTGGATTCAATGTTTGTAATTTTTGTTGTAATTTTGCACTGAAAATAAAAAAAGAAATAAAAAAGAAAAGAAAGAAATGTAGTACACACCCACCCCACCGCCAAAATCCTATTTTGGAGGGATTTTATCTTACGCACAACAAATACAGACACACACAACTCCCTCTCAGTGGTGAAATTTTGTTTTCCCCATGGTCTTCAATACCCCACCAAACTAATATTAAGCCTCTCTTGGATATACTGTGCTGCTTCTTGCCACTTCCATTACTTCCGCTCTATCAATTTGTTTGATTTGCTTGAACAAAATCTTTTTAAAAAATAATCATTTCCTTTCGAAGCGGTCTTCACAGTTTGAGGGGCACGCTCTGTTTTTAACTGGGAAAAGTAGATGATCCGTGCAAACCCTGCGTGATCGTACCAAGTTCTGTGTGATCCTCTGAGCCCGGAAGAAGAGAACCAGGAATGTTGTAGGGACAAATTCCCAGAGGAACAAGACGACCCCAAAAACCACGTATTCTTCGCTTCCGGCTTCTTCGCCTCGAACCTGCAGGAACAGGGCATGGATTCAAGTCCAGCACTCAAGGAGATAGGTTACAGTGGCCAGTGGTCAGCATACCTTTTCAGCAGGGGGCTGGTCTACTGTCCCTCTGACTATATTTTTTTGGGGATAAATGAACGAATTCCTATGCCCCACAAATAACCCAGAGGTGCATTTTAAATAAAAGCACACATTCTGCTCCTGTAAAAACACCAGGCAGGCCCCACAAATAACCCAGAGATGCATTTTATGAATAAAAGGACACATTCCACTCATGTGAAAACACGCTGATTCCTGGACCGTCCGGGGGCCGGATTTAGAAGGCGATTGGGCTGGATCCGGCCCCCAGGCCTTAGATTTGCCTACTCATGGGCTACGCTGTGTCTGGGACTGTCCTTGATGACTGTCCTACGAGTACAGACTTCCATTGCGGGACACCTCTTATTTAGAAGATTCAGGAACGATAAGAGAGAAGGTACTTTTCAACATGGTGCACAGTTGAACTATGGAACTCATTGCCACAGGAGGCCATGATGGCCACCACCTTAGATAATAATAATAATAATAATAATAATAATAATAAATAATAATAATAATAATAATTTATTATTTATACCCCATCCATTTGGCTGGGTTCCCCCAGCCACTCTGGGCAGCTTCCAACAGAATATTAAAATACAACCATCTATTAAACATTAAAAGCTTCCCTAAACAGGGCTGCCTTCAGATGTCTTCTAAAAGTCTGGTAGTTGTTTTTCTCTTGGACATCTGATGGGAGGGCGTTCCACAGAGAGGGTGCCACCACCGAGAAGGCCCTCTGCCTGGTTCCCTGTAACCTCACATCTCGCAAGGAGGGAACCGCCAGAAGGCCCTTGGCGCTGGACCTCAGTGTCCGGGCAGAACGATGGAGGTGGAGACGCTCCTTCAGGTATACAGGACTGAGGCCATTTAGGGCTTTCAAGGTCAGCACCAACACTTTGAATTGTGCTCGGAAACGTACTTATGGGCTTTAAAAGAGGATTGGACAAGTTCATGGAGGAGAAGAGGGCTATCGAGGGCTGCTAGCCACGAAGGCTGTGCTCTGCCCCTACAGTTGGAGGCAGCAAAGCTGAATACCAGTTGCTGGAAACGACCTTGGAGCGGGTCTTGTGTTCGAATCCTGACTGCGGGTTTCCCACAGGCATCTGCTCAGCCAATGAGAAGACAGGATTTCTGGACTAGGCGGGCCACTGACTCTTCTTCTGTTCTTATATGGAAATTCGGAAACACCTGGATCAAAGCCCACTGACCTTATCCGAAAGGTTATCCCAGCCATAGTTGAAGGGGCTGGGCACGTGGTCCGGCGAGATTGCCACCGCCACCAGGTTATAGAAGGCCCTCGAGGAGTACAGGAGGAGGACGACAGAACCCACAAGCAAGGCTTGGCAGACAGATGTGCCCTAGTTTGTTTTTAAAAAGAAAAACACATATACACTGAAAGAGGGCATTAAAAATAAAGGAAGCTGGTGCTCAGATCTTTCTTCTTAAGTGGTTGTTTTTACGCTGGGTAAATTGTTCACGAGAGAACTGAACCGGAAGAGCTGTTCATCTTTCTTTCTTTCAAGAAAAACAGCTTTTAAATATTTGAACATGCCAAGTTCACAAAGAATCAGATGCGACAGAGAAGGAATCTCTTACTCTACCAGCCTCGAAGATGGAGAGGATGCTCTTACTATTTTATTATTTGGCCCAGACACTTACCGTATTTTTCGCTCTATAGGACGCACTGGACCATAGGAGGGGGAGAAAAGGGGAAAAAAATTTTTTTCTCGTTCTCCCCCTCTAAAACAAGGTGCGTTCAAGAGCAGGTCGGGGAATAGCGCAAAGGCTGCGCGCAGCCTTGCCGCTGCCCCCCCGAGCTTGTGGGGCTGGCAGTGGGGGGAAGCGCTGCTTTCCCCCACCGCCAGCCTCAAAGATCCCTGAAGCCTTTGGAGCTCAGCTGCACTCCAAAGGCTTGAGGCTTCGGAGACATCCTTTGTAGCCTCCGCAGGGCAGCGGGGTGCAGACACCCCGCTGCCCTGTGGAGGCTTTGCGCAGCCATCCCGAAGCTAGAACAGCGAGACGGAGGGCTGCGCAGCGCTCCATCATGCTGTTTTGGCTTCAGGGGAGGCTTTGCGCAGCCATCCGGCTCCCCGGGCTTCGGGCTGCAGGCTGCTATCCGCAAGCCTTCAGCGGGCACTCCCGCAGCACTCCAAAGGCTTGCGGATAGCTTCCTGAAGCCTGGAGAGCGAGAGGGGTCGGTGCGCACCGACCCCTCTCGCTCTCCAGGCTTCAGCGAAAGCCTGCATTCGCTCCATAGGACACACACACATTTCCCCTTCATTTTTGGAGGGGAATAAGTGCATCCTATAGAGCGAAAAATACGGTATTTTCAGACACGAGATAAAAGCAAGCGGTTCAGGCATGGAGCGGGGGGTGGGTGGGTGGGAGGCGAGACGCCATGTCCTTAGAGATCATCGCCCAGGGTAGAGACCTGTCTGTTCTCGCTTCGGTTAAGCCCGTAAAGCTCCGTGCACAACGGACTGTGCTCCATGAATAATCTATGCTAATTGATGCAAATTTATTCAGAGCTACTTTGGTGTGTTTTTTTGCCGATTCCGTACGGGCAGCCTGCTCTTCCAAAACCAGATACGTGTTGGAACTTGAGAAATGGGCTGCAGGGTCACGGAACGTTCACCAACATTCCACAGAGGCATGAAAGGGAAAGAGTCACAGAGGCAGGTAGCGTCCATAAAAAGAGTTGTGGATGGGTAGGGAAATGAAAGTGGCTCTTGCTCTGCTGTCAGACTCAATAATTATTATTATTATAATAATTTATTATTTGTACCCCGCCCATCTGGCTGGGTTTCCCCAGCCACTCTGGGTGGCTTCCAGCAAAAGATTAAAAGTACATTAAATCACCGGTCATTAAAAACATCCCTAAACAGGGCTGCCTTCAGATGTCTTTTAAACATCAGAAAGTTGTTTATTTCTTTGACATTTGATGGGAGGATGTTCCACAGGGCGGGTGCCACTACCGAGAAGGCCCTCTGCCTGGTTCCCTGTAACTTCGCTTCTTGCAATGAGGGAACTGCCAGAAGACCCTTGGCGCTGGATCTCAGTGTCCGGGCAGAATGATGGGGGTGGAGACGCTCCTTCAGGTCTACTGGGCCGATGCCATTTAGGGCTTGTGCCCGGAAACGTACTGGGAGCCAATGTAGATCTTTCATGACCGGTGTTATATGGTCTCGGCGGCCACTCCCAGTCACCAGTCTGGCTGCCTCATTCTGGATTAGTTGGAGTTTCCAGGTCACCTTCAAAGGTAGCCCCATGTAGAGCGCATTGCAGTAGTCCAAGCGAGAGGTAACTAGAGCATGCACCACTCTGTCGAGACAGTCTGTGGACAGGTAGGGCTCAGCCACCTGAGAGCCAGCGTGGTGTAGTGGTTAAGAGCGGTAGACTCGTAATCTGGGGAACAGGGTTCGTGTCCCTGCTCCTCCACTTGCAGCTGCTGGGTGACCTTGGGCTAGTCACACTTTTTTGAAGTCTCTCAGCCCCACTCACCTCGCAGAGTGTTTGTTGTGGGGGAGGAAGGGAAAGGAGAATGTCAGCCGCTTTGAGACTCCTTAAAGGGAGTGAAAGGCGGGATATCAAATCCAAACTCTTATTCTTCTTCAGCCTGCGTAGCAGCTGAAGCTGATAAACAGCTGAACTGGACATAGAATTAACCTGCGCCTCCATGGACAGCTGTAAAATTCATGTTAAATTGCTGTTTTAGGGGTTGTTTTTAAAAGTCTGGAACAGATTAATCCGTTTTGCATTCCTCTCTATGGGAAATCACGCATTGGTTTTGGAACGCTTTGGTTTTGGAACGGACTTCCGGAACGGATTAAGTTTGAGAACCAAAGTAATAAATAATAAATATAATAATAATAATAATAATATATTTATTATTTATACCCCGCCCTTCTGGCTGTACCAATTTTCCACTTTAACAACCACACCCTACCTTTGCGGAGACCAGCCACTCGATGTCCTTCCTCAGAAATGGGAGAGTTTAAGGCGAGGGAAAACAATAACAATAACAACAGCAAGAGCAACAACAAACCAACCCACCAACCCTTGCTGTCCCTTACCTTGGACTCAAGGTAAGCATTGGCCGAAGACATTTTGGACAGCTTGCACATGAAACAGGCTAGCAGCACGGCGCAGAGAATGAAGAGGCTGTCGTTGATCAGAGCCCGGGTGTACACCGTCCACCGCAGCTGGTCCTCAGGGAGGTCGCCGTGCGCCAGCAATGCGCACGTCAAATTCACAAAGACAAAGAGGAGGCTGGTGAGGATGGAGCCCACGTACAGGGTGGCCCTGGAAACGGAAACAGAAGGTTATCCCATCCGTGTCCCAACATGGAGGCCTTCTGGTCATTGGACCGCAGTTGCTGTCTTGCTTGATGCTCTGGGACATAGCCAGGGCCAGATTTAGGTTTGATGAGGCCCTTAGCTACTGAAGGTAATGGGGCCCTTTATATGTCCAGCTGTCCTTTGTCAACAACAAATTGTCGCTGGTTTTTGTGTTGAATATATGCTATATGGTAATTTATGGACCTGATAGGTATCTCAAGCCATGCAACCAGTCCATGCAGAATGTAGGCACCCTATATATAGAAAGGAGCAAACCAGTGATATTTTAGGGAGCAGGCGGGACCCATGACTTACATCACAGGAGCCTACACAACACAAAACACTGTTGCTGTATGTAGGTTTTATTTCATTTGTTTTTTATCTTATATTTTGGAGATGTACAGCCAGGTTTTCTTCCTTTAAATTTTTTTTGGGGCCCCCAAGAGAGTGGGGCTTTAAACTATAGCTTGTTTATCTCATACGTAAATCCAGAACGGAGTTGTAATCCCATTTAACAACTCTTGGGTTGGGGCAACTGGCTAAAATGTTTCAATTTTGGTTCCTCGGTTTTGTTTTCGTCGGGGTGGGGTTGGTTAAATGTTTAGTTGGATGTTATTTTAATTTGGGTATAGATGTAAACTGTTTATTCTTATTCTTGGTTTCTACTGGTTTATTTATGGTCTGTATAAGAGATTGCAGTTTTTTTTGTTTTTTATTTTGATAAGAATTTTTATTAGTTTTCAATTACAACAGTCCAATAGCCTCACTATAACAATGCCAATTATAATGCAATTAATAATAGCAATCATTGAGATGACAAATTATACAATTTAGGTGCCCCCCACATGCTACAATTAATGGTTTGATGATTTTCTTTGTTTCTGCATTTCAAAATCTGATAAATTTTAATAGATGTTCTGGTTTTTTATGTTTAATGTTTTATGTTTTTATATACGCTGTAAGCCACCCAGAGTGGCTGGGGAAACCCAGTCAGATGGGCAGGATGTAAATATTTTTTAAATTTAAATTTATTATATTTATTTATATTTATAATATTTATATTTATATTATTATAGCGATACATAGAAGCACCATGTTGGCTATTCCTGCCTTAAGGCGCAGTAAGACATTAGCTGCAGGAGACAAAGGGGAAGGAAAGGGGGCAGAGAGGACCCCAGTGGAGCGAGATGGAAGCCAAGTGGGGAAAGAAATCTGTTTAAGTACAGAGCGTTAAAAGCCAAACAAGTTCAAGATCCATCGGTATTACAGAAGATAAAGCGCTCTCAAAACCTGTGGGTTGTATTCAGCATAGCAATAAGGTGAATGGCCTATCAGCAGAAGGATTTATCCTTGCGCTACAGAATATTCTCTCTTTCTCTCCCTAAATCCACACTGTTTCTTTTAATTGTAACTCTTATTATTATTTTTTATTGATTTGTTAGCAACAACAAGTGTAAACAGACAGAAAACAAAGAATCAAAGATTTAAACCATAAAAGCATTTGCAGGCTGGAAGGTCAAAGATACCATGCAGCTCCAAAGGGAGAATAAAGTATTAACCCATACAAATATCCCATTTACAAACAATTAAGGTTTATAAAAGTATTGCCCACCAGTGAGTTCCATGATTGAGAATAAAGGCGCTATATAGTCTCAAATGAACTGGACATTTGTACATACTGGTGGCACTGAGTAACTATGTGCCTCTTTATTTGTATAAGAAATAAAATAACCCCATGTATTTTTTTTAAAAAAGGGCCATTTGAGATCTCTCCTTCATATACTTTTGGTTTATCAGATGTCTTCTCAAAAAGGGGCATTTGTCCAACCCCTTGAATACCAGCAATCCGAACTATTATAATAAATAATTTTTTATTTATACCCTGCCCTTCCCGGTTTAAAAACCGGGCTCAGGGCAGCTAACAGCAAATATAAAACATTGATTAAAATGTGACTTAAAAACAGCATAAAACACAACATAAAATGCAGCATCAATATCAATAAAATTCTAAAATTCAGGGGTCATTTTGGGGGTGGGGTGGGGGTGGAAATCCCAGTCCATAGACACTGAATGATCACCAGGGCTAACTGGCCAAGTTGGTCCTATTAGGGCCAGCAAGGAGACCAGGGAAGAATTTAAATGTGGGGTCCCAGAAAGGGTTTCTTCATAGAAGAGGAAAGGGGAAAAGGGAATAGAGGATTAGGCTAATTCAAATTGAAGGCCAGGCGGAATAGCTCTGTCTTTTTAGAATAAAGGGCCTCCATAAATTGGCAAAACAGTCCCTTCTCCTCACATTAACCCCTAATTTTTTTTTCTGGGGGCTTCCCCAATGCTCCGGAGCAGATTTGGGGATGGTGCAGTTTGCACGTACGGAAAAGCTATGAGGGAGGAATGACCACTTCACTAGTGCATAAAATTACCGTATTTTTTGCTCTATAAGACGCACTTTCCCCCTCCTAAAAGGTAAGGGGAAATGTGTGTGCGTCTTATGGAGCGAATGCAGGCTGTGCAGCTATCCCAGAAGCCAGAACAGCAAGAGGGATCAGTGCGCACCGATCCCTCTTGCTCTTCTGGCTTCAGGGATAGCAACGCAAAGCCTCTTGAGCGCAGCGGAAGCACTCCTCCCTTCTCGCTTAAAAGGCTTTGCGTTGCTTTCTTGTTTTCCTTCTCTAAAAACTAGGTGCGTCTTATGGTCTCGTGAGTCTTATAGAGCGAAAAATACGGTAGTTGAGTACCTCCCTATGAATCCACTAGGCTTTGCCAAGAGAGCACCATCTGCTTCAGCTGTGCTACAGTTATTTATAGAAAGCCACAGCAAGAGTGCTGGGAACCTGTATTGGACTCCAACTCCCATCAGCCCCGGCCAGCATGGCCAATGGTCAAAGCTGACATGAGCTGTAGTCCCAAAGACCTGGGAGGCACCAGGTTCCTCCTTCCCAAACAGAATTCCTTCGAAATACAGGCCATGTCGAAATGAAAGAGGAGGAAAAAAATTGTGCTTTCCTGAAAGAAGGCTGAGAGGCTCAGACGCCACTGCAGACCCTTCGGGTGCCTTTGCGCATTTATCAAGCCACGTTGATTCATCAGCGGCAAATTTTAACCTGCGATTAAAACCTGCGGTAACTAATTTATTGGGACACGGGTGGCACTGTGGGTTAAACCACAGAGCCTAGGGCTTGCCGATCAGAAGGTCGGCGGTTCGAATCCCCGCGACAGGGTGAGCTCCCGTTGCTCGGTCCCTGCTCCTGCCAACCTAGCAGTTCGAAAGCACCTCAAAGTGCAAGTAGATAAATAGGTATTGCTCCGGCGGGAAGGTAAACGGCGTTTCCGTGCGCTGCTCTGGTTCGCCAGAAACAGCTTAGTCCTGCTGGCCACATGACCCGGAAGCTGTACGCCGGCTCCCTTGGCCAGTAAAGCGAGATGAGCGCCGCAACCCCAGAGTCGCGACTGGACCTAATGGTCAGGGGTCCCTTTACCTTTACATAACTAATTTATTACGAGGCACCACCACCACCCCAAAGGTTAGACTCACTTGTATTTGTTGAATTCGGCGGCACACTTCACTTTGAAGATCACCTGTTCAGAAAGAGAGAAAACGTGGGTTTGGGTGAGGTTTTCCCCTATTCCATCATAGGGCTCCCTCCAGGTATCCTTTACATCGTGCATTTGTGACGATGTACCAATGATCCTTCAACATCAACTTCGTTGGACTCGTCATGTTGTGTGGATGCCTGATGATCATCTTCCAAAGCAACTACTCTATTCTGAACTTAAAAATGGAAAGCGTAATGCTGGTGGTCAACAAAAGAGGTTTAAAGACTCTCTCAAGGCAAATCTAAAAAAATGTAGTATAAACACCAACAAATGGGAAACACTGGCCTGCGAGCGCTCCAGTTGGAGAACAGCCTTTACCAAAGGTGTCATGGGCTTTGCAGACACTCGAACTCAGGACGCAAGGGAGAAATGTGCTAAGAAGAAGGCACGCTCGGCAAACCCTCACCGTGATCAACTCCTGCCCAGAAACCAGTGTCCCCACTGCGGAAGGACGTGTGGATCCAGAATTGGCCTCCACAGTCACTTACGGACTGGCTGTTAAAACCGTGATTATGGAAGACAATCTTATTCGGTTATGAGTGATCGCCAACGAAGAAGAAGAAGAGCTTATTCCCATGATGCACAAGGAAACCAGGACCTGTTTTCTTTTGAATTTTCTGCTAGGAATGAGTCCCCCTGAGCAGTTTGCCCCAGCGTTCCAGCATCCACACTGACAGCTTCAGCTGCTGTTTCGAACTGGAGAACTTTGAATTTTGGAGCCTAGCTGTGTTTCTGGTCACGTCTAGGATTGAGTAATGCGAGTTAAGGACATACGAACCGCCTGCTGTGTTAAGTTGTGGGTGAACATATCAGACGACACAGCGATTCTTCAGACAGCTCTTGTTTATTCACAGGCCAGAACAGAACTGAACTGAAGGGTTCAGCCAGCCTGCTTATATAGAGCTCCACTACAACACAACAGTAACCACTTTCTGTAACTATCCAATCACTGAACGTCACTTTCAATCCCTTATTTGCATATGTGGACCTGAGTGAAAACTGTCTACAGTATCCCCCTGCTGGCCCAGGGTGAGAACTTCAGTACATAACATGCCACTGGCCCCTCCAGCCCAGCATCCCATTATCACAGTGGCCGACCAGTTGCCTGTGGGAAACCAGCAAGCGGGATTCGAGCACAAGAGCCCTTATTTTGTCAGGAGCCAGAGTCAGGCAGAAGTCAACAATAAAACAATAAGAAGGCACGCTTGGCAAACCCTCACCATGTTCAGCTCCCGCCTGGAAACCAATGTCCCCACTGTGGAAGGATGTGTGGATCCAGAATTGGCCTCCACTGTCACTTATGGACTCATTGTTAAAACCATGTTTATGGAAGACAATCTTAGCTACGAGTGATCACCAAAGAAGACGACGATAAGCAAGCCGGTGTTGAGGATGAAGGAAGTCAATTAGAAGAAAAGAAGAACTGAAATATGGTATATATTTATATTATTATTTGTTTCGTTTAAGTTTTCTTACGTTTATCACGTTTTATTTGTATTTTCTTGTTTGGTGTTTTGTTGTTGTTTGTTTTTCTTTTCATTCTGTACTATTATTTTCATGTTTAGTTCGACAAGTGTGTGTATGTGCTGTAAATAAACTCAATATAAAAAATAAAAAATATAGCAAGCCCGCTTTGCGTACTGTTTGTGCCTGCAGAAGTTTCAGGGCAGGCATAACACTTTGTTTCATAGATTTGTAGAGTTGGAAGGGACCCCCAGGTTCATCCAGCCGAACCCCTTGTAATGCAGGTTTCGGATCCTCCTTACTGCGGAGTAAATCCACAATACAGCCTTCACTCAGGGAAACAAGGCCAGAAACACACTCCCTTTTCCTCCTTAACGAATATAAGAGCCTTCTGGATGAGAACAAAGTCCCAGCTAGCCCATCCATCCTCTTGTGGCTTACGGCCCTCGTATTTACGGGACCGCCTCTCTTGGGATGCTTAAGGTCCATGAATAACCATAGTTTAGAGGTCCCGGGCCCTAAGGAAGTCAGACTATCCTCTACCAGGGCAAGGGCCTTCTCAGTGATGGCTCCAACCTGGTGGAATGCTCTGTCCCATGAGACCAGGGCCCTGCAGGATTTAACTTCCTTCCGCAGGGCCTGTAAGACAGAGCTATTCTGCCTGGCTTTCAATTTGAACTTAGCCTGATCTTTTATTCCCCTTCCTTCCCTCCCCCTCCCCTTTTATGAAGATTACCCGCTCTGGGATCCCACAGCTAATTCTCCCCTGGTCTCCTCGCTGGCCCAAATAGGACTAATTTAGCCAGCTAGCCCTGGGGATCATCTAATGTTTATTGGATGGATTTCCCCCCTAAATTGATTTTTGAATTCTGAATTTATTGTTATTCACATTTTATACTGTATTTTATGCTGTTTTTTGTTGCATCAATTAAGTGTTTTAAATTTGTTATTAGCCGCCCTGAGCCCGGTTTTCTGAACCGGGAAGGGCGGGGTATAAATAAAAATTTATTATTATTATTTTCACAGTCACCAACCTATGTTGAGAACCCTGAAACCAGGACTGGTGCTGGTAGCGACAGAGAGCCCAAACCTCCATGAATTTCTCCAATCTTTTTGAAGCCAAGCTGTTGGCCAGTTTGGTAAAATTCAGAGTTGAACCAAGCACGAAGGACAGCAGCCCTTTCTATTGTCTGCCCTAAATCTTCCGGCATCCAGTTCCACTGGCTGGCTCTGAGTTCTAGTTTTAAGAGAGAAATAAAAATATTCTCTCTAACCACTTCCTCCATGCTTAATTTTACAGTTCTGTCATTCCCCACCTTGCTCACCTTCTCGCTAAGCTAAAAAGCCCAAAATCAGGGGCAAAACTAGGCTTTATTTCACCCGAGTCAAAGATCCAGTTTGCCACACACCCCAAGCGCATTTGTGTACACACACAGCGGCTGGGAGCCTCAATGGCGTCTCTCTGGGGCTTCACCCGGGGCAAAAAACCCTGGCAAATCCCACTCCCCCCCCCCAGCTATTGTTGTTTAGTCGTTTAGTCATGTCCGACTCTTCGTGACTCCCTGGACCAGAGCACGCCAGGCACTTCTGTCTTCCACTGCCTCCCACAGTTTGGTCAAACTCATGCTGGTAGCTTCAAGAACACTATCCAACCATCTCGTCCTCTGTCGTCCCCTTCTCCTTGTGCCCTCCATCTTTCCCAACATCAGGGTCTTTTCCAGGGAGTCTTCTCTTCTCATGAGGTGGCCAAAGTATTGGAGTCTCAGCTTCAGGATCTGTCCTTCCAGTGAGCACTCAGGGCTGATTTCCTTCAGAATGGATAGGTTTGATCTTCTTGCAGTCCAGGGGACTCTCAAAAGTCTCCTCCAGCACCAGAATTCAAAAGCATCAATTCTTCGGCGATCAACCTTCTTTATGGTCCAGCTCTCACTTCCATACATCACTCCTGGGAAAACCATGGCTTTAACTATATGGACCTTTGTTGGCAAGGTGATGTCTCTGCTTTGTAAGATGCTGTCTAGGTTTGTCATTGCTTTTCTCCCAAGGAGCAGGCGTCTTTTAATTTCGTGGCTGCTGTCACCATCTGCAGTGATCATGGAGCCCAAGAAAGTAAAATCTCTCACTGCCTCCATTTCTTCCCCTTCTATCTGCCAGGAGGTGATGGGCCCAGTGGCCATGATCTTTGTTTTTTTTTATGTTGAGCTTCAGACCATATTTTGCACTCTCCTCTTTCACCCTCATTAAAAGGTTCTTTAACCCCCCAGCTATGGCACTGCCCAAATGTTGAAACTTTTCATCTTTGGAGAGTTGCTCCATCTCTGTGATTTTTGCTGTTGTTTTCTGAGCGTTTTTCAGCTGTGCAATATCCTTTCTGCAGTGAGCTGACCAGAACGGCACGCGGTATTCCAAGCGCGGCGGCACCGTAGGTTTGTGTAAGAACATTTCGCAGACTGGTACAGACACATATGCACACACAGTGCTGCACGCACATGAGAGCAAAAAAATAATAATGCCTGAAAGCAAAGAAAGCCGAAATACTGAATATTTGAAAAGGGAACTACCGAAAGGTGGGACACCATGAGAATGGACTGCTGAAGGAGAAAGGCCTTTGGCCTCATCTAGCTGCAGGGACCTAGGCAGCATCTCAAAAAGTAGAGACATCACCTTGCCAACAAAGGTCCGTATAGTTACAGCTATGGTTTCCCCAGACCCTGATGTTGGGAAAGATGGAGGGCGCAAGGAGAAGGGGACGACAGAGGACGAGATGGTTGGACAGTGTTCTCGAACCTACCAGCATGAGTTTGACCAAACTGCGGGAGGCAGTGGAAGACAGGAGTGCCTGACGTGCTCTGGTCCAGGGGGTCACGAAGAGTCGGACACGACTAAACGACTAAACAACAGCAACAACAAAGCTGCAGGGATCGTCTTATGGGTATGCAAAAATGCCGAGCTGCCGAGGAAGGGAAGAAGAGAAACAGTGAGGGGAATTGTGCAAACGGCAAAGTGTTTTGCTCTGCACACACTCGAGTTCCTGCTTCCCAGCTGTGGTGCTCTGGGCAAGCTAAAGAATTCTCTACAAAGGAGATGGTGGCAGTGGTGGTTTCTGCTTAATCATTCCCTGGCAGAAGACAAACTGGCATTCTTGGGCAACGCAAAGCTTCATGACTCAGTATTCCAGATCTGTAAAAGGGACCCGTTCTCCAGCAAAATCTTCACGGCCCCCTTCCATGACATGAACTGTAGCTCATGGAACTGGGGCAAGCTCCCAATATGTGAGATTATTAATTATTATTATCATCATTATTATTACCGTATTGGCCTGAATATAAGCCTCACCTTTTTTCCAAATTCTGACCATGAAAAGTTAAAGCGCGGCTTAAATTCGTGACCTTACAAAAACTGGCTTTTACGATATCGCTGCTGAAACAGACATACGGCAAAACAGAACGGGTGTGAGTGCCTGCAGAATTTTAAGGGAGTGGTTTATATTCGGGTGCGGCTTATATTCGGGCCAATACGGTATTGTTTAATTCAACTTATACACTTCTCTATACCCAGAGGTCTCAGGGCAGTTCACAACAAGACCACAACATATAAAATCAAACCAAAAGCACAAACCCAATACCCATCCCCCCCCACAAAGCCACTTTCTAAAAGGTCAATAAGATCAACCAAAGGCCTGGTTAAAAAGGAACGCTTTTGCCTGGCGCCTAAAGGTGTGTGATGAAGGCGTCAGGCGAACTTCCCTGGGGAGAGCATTCCACAGACAGGGAGCCACCACAGAGAAGGCCCTGTTCTTGTGTTGCCGCCCTCTGGACCTCTAGAGAAGGGGGCACATATCCATGCATTTTTTTGTTCCCAGTTACACCTCAGTTGCAATTTGGATTGCATTGGCTTGATCTCCCCATCCCTGACCCCTGAATTTTTATGTGGCAACAACTCCTTGGGGGCAGGGGACTTCTCCAAAATCCCTCCGCAAATATGCACAGGCTTGAGCAATGGTCTTCCTTTCTGAGTAAGTGTGCACAGGATATGCTCAGGGTTAATCATCAGTCTCAAGTCTTCCTTTTCTCTTTGATACTGTCTGTCCATGCAGCCAGATTTTTAGACCAGTTCCCACAACCAATCTCTAGGGACTGAAGTTAAGACTCCTTGCTCCGTGGTTAACTTGAGATGTGAATTCATAGCTCATGGAGTTCAGGAGGAGGCAATTGCGTCAAATTCCACCTCAAGCCGCCATTTTGAAAGCTGGCTTCACCCTTCGAGTCTGGTTGAAGAAGAGGAACCTGCAAGCTTCAGATCGAGGATAGATTTCCCCCTCCTCCAGAACTAGTGCTTCTAATCTGCAGATTTGATTTTAAAGAGCTGTTACATCAGTTAACCCTGTAGTCTAAAGTCAACAGGCCTGCCTCGCTGCTGCACCCCATAATATCAGCTCAATCTTTAGACCTGCAAACAAACTGAATGCAGTTTAAAAATGTGGAGTGCAGATACACCTCATTGTGAGGCAGAAGGAACTCTGTCCTTCCCTAAACTCATTGGTCTCAAGCTGCTCTGCTTGGTTCTCCATGCTTCCAGATCCTTAATTAACACTAGATTCTGAGGGGAACACCATAGAGAAAGAGCTTGTCAAATACCGTATTTTTTGCTCTATATGACTCATTTTTCCCCTCCTAACAAGTAAGGGGAAATGTGTGTGCGTCTTATGGGGTGACTGCAGGCTGCGCAGCTATCCCAGAAGCCAGAACAGCAAGAGGGATTGCTGCTTTCACTGCGCAGCGATCCCTCTTGCTGTTCTGGCTTCTGAGATTCAGAATGTTTTTTTTTTCTTGTTTTCCTCCTCCAAAAACTAGGTGCATCTTGTGGTCTGGTGCGTCTTATAGAGTGAAAAATACGGTACATTTTGGGGAGCCCCCAGAGGCAGAAAATCCAGAAACGAACCCAATCCCCAACTTACTAACCATCAGGGGACAGTCCATTTGAAATTGCCCTATGCACTTTGCAGAAGGGCACAGCCAATGGGTGCATAACTTAACATGCTCTGTGGCTCAGTGTCAGAACATCTTCCTTGCATGCCGGAGGTCCCTGGTAACTCCAGGTAGGGCAGGGAGCAGCTCCCATCTGAAAACATGGAGAGCTGCTGGCTGCCAGTCAGAGTAGAGGTGTCCTGCCATGGAACAGCAGCTTTTCTTGTTGCCTTTACCGCCTCACAAGCACCGTATTTTTCCCACTATAAGACGCACTTTTCCCCTCCTAAAAAGTAAGGGGAAATGTGTGTGTGCGTCTTATGGAGCGAATGCAGGCTGTGCAGCTATTGCTGAAGCCAGGAGAGCAAGAGGGATCAGTGCGCACCGATCACTCTTCCTCTTCTGGCTTCAGCGATAGCAACGCAAAGCCTCTTGAGCGCAGCGGAAGCGCTCCTCCCTCTTCGCTGAAGAGGCTTTGCGTTGCTTTCTTGTTTTCCTCCTCTCAAAACTAGGTGCGTCTTATGGTCGGGTGCATCTTACAGAGCGAAAAATACAGTAGTCCTCTTTACCCAGGGGGGAATCAGGGGACACAAATGGTTAAGAGCAGGGGTCAGCAAGGTTTACCTCGCCTGGGCCAATTCACTCCAGCAGAGAGCCCTCTGTGGGTCGGAGTGTGCGCACGCAACGCGCATGCCCGCGATTTCCAGTGTCTGCGGTTTTTGGCATCTGTGCATGTGCAGACGCAATTTATGGCGCCGTGGAAGCAAGTCCCCACGCCGCGCTGGTTTAGCACAGTGCACAGGGACTTGCCTAGCCGGCGGCTCAGTTCATGGACCGGTTAAACGACTTGTGGCCCATGGGCCTTAGGTTGCCAACCCCTGGTTAAGAGCCTGCTCTTCAGCGAGATCTGGGTTGACGCTTAACAACTTTCAAGCCCCATACTCTTAAGCCAGACCTTCTGAAGAGCACGACTCTTCTAGCGCTTCTCTTCGATAGCCTTAAAACCTTGCAACTGGTATGTCATGTTTTAGTAACAGCACTGAAACCAGCCAATACCGCCCTGATCTCTTAGCTTGCCTTCGCAAGGATTATGGGATGCCTATGGGTGATGCTGGGAAGCAGGTGGCGTTGTGGGTTAACCCACAGAGCCTATGGCTTGCCAATCAGAAGGTTGGTGGTTCGAATCCCCACGACGGGGTGAGCTCCCATTGCTCGGTCCCTGCTCCTGCCAACCTAGCAGTTCGAAAGCACGTCAAAAGTGCAAGTAGATAAATAGGTACCACTCTGGCGGGAAGGTAAACAGCGTTTCCGTGCGCTGCTTTGGTTTCACCAGAAGCGGCTTAGTCATGCTGGCCACATGACCCAGAAGCTGTGCGCCGGCTCCCTCGGCCAGTAAAGCGAGATGAGCGCCGCAATCCCAGAGTCGGCCACGACTGGACCTAATGGTCAGGGGTCCCTTTACCTCTTATGGGTGATGCCACCTGCAAATGTCACCCCCTCTCCTCGGAAGGTGCGGCACAGTATTTTGCGGTCCATCGATCCTATGCACACCCATTTGAAGAGCAACACCACGCTCAGCGGTGCTAGAGGATTGCAGCCTTAAGGTTGCCACTCCCGCATCAACTCTCATTCGCCACCCCAGAGAGAGCCTTACGAAAAAGCAAGCCTTGAGAAGCCAGTGCTTATTTTTTCCTGGGGATAACAGCATCTCTCTCACTCGTGCTCATCACGTGAACATCCCTGGGAGAATGAAATCATTGTTGACACCGCATCCTAAGTGACAAGACACTTTTGCACACACAGAGAGAGGGAGTGTTGCCCGAGACTCAAAAGAAACACACCCACCAAAAGAAAGGATATTTTAAGGAAATTCAGCCAACTGCTGTAGAGTGGGGGACATCATCCTGTTCAGACAAGGGGTGCCAAAACTGAAATCGGGAGAGAGGAGGAGGTTTGTGTTCAAGGCTGTATGTAGTTCCTGGGTACCTGCCTGGAAATAACCCCCCAAAGAACCCGGTGTAACCTACTCCCAACTCAACAACGAGGGGGGTTGCAATGCAATATGCTCAACGGAACATCCAAACCTTGAAGCCAGATAATTGAATGTTGTTTTGTTTTGGGAGACGGGGAGTTTGCAGGGGTTTGGAAACAGCTGATCAGCAAGACACAGGGTGGGAGGGGTAGGAAATTAACCCCAGCAGAAAGGGGGGGGGGGAACAGCCACAAAAATATTTCAGCTCTGACCCTTTCATCTTCTGGATTATAGAAAGTGGTAAAACTCGCTTACAGTTTTAAAAGAATAGTTTCCTAGGATGATGATGATGTGGAGATGCCATCAAAAGGGCTAAGCAGGTAAAATGGGAATAGGGTTAATAGCCAGATCCTTTCAAAGGTCTTGACACTGAAGGAGGAGAGAAAGCAAAAACAGGGAGAGGAGGAATGCAGCAACAATGGGGGGGGGAGAGGCTCCGGAGCGATGACGTAATGGCTGACACCGCTCCCTGCCCCAGCTGAGACAACCTGGGAGGCTGTTGCTGGTACTCTGCAAGCGCTGGCCCCTTATTTGCAAGAAAAAGGAGAAAAAAGCACATATATTTTACATGCACATCTAGAATTACAAGAGCTCTACACAGCAAGCCCGGGTGCGCTTGCAACCTCTGCAAAAACTGCAAGAGAGATCACACAAGCCAAGGCTTGCAGGGGGGAAGAAAACCTTTTGGGTTTCTCCAACACCAGGAGGAGGAAAATCCATCCCAAGTTTTTTTGCAGATGCACCAGAATGTGGTAAACAAGAAGAGGCAAACAAGCCGGAGGAGGAGGAGGAGGAGGAAGGGGGGGGCGTGCCTGGGCTGCCGGGTGCGCGCGCGCGCTTGTTTTGTTCTGCTGTTTTTAAAACACCATGCAAAAAAAATCCAAACAAACATATATTTATTTGAAACACACAGAGACCCCCCCTCCCCATCCCACTTACCTCTGCAAAATAGAGATTGAGGAGGCAGCCGGTGGCGAAGAGGAGGCAGACGGGGAAGCAGAGGAGCAGCCAGCGGGGGAACGGAGGCAGCCGGGGCTGGCGGTGGGGCGGCAGGAGGGCGCCCTGCAGGGAGCAGGAGAAGAGGACGGTGCGCAGCGCCGCCCAGAGCAGGCAGAGGAAGAGGCAGACGGTGCGGTAGCTGAGCCGCTTCTCCCGGTAGTAGAGGAGCAGCCAGAGTTGCAGGTAGGCGAAGAGGAAGAGGCCGGCGTAGAGGAGCGTGTGCAAGGTGCTCAGTCCCAGGGCCAGCGGGGAGCGGGGATCGGGGCCCGGATCGGGGCCCCGCAGCACCATGGCACCCCCGGGGCACCCTTGGGTGCCCTGCAAAGTAACAAACCGGGGGTTGTGCAAAGGGGTGCGTGGGTGGGTGGGGTGCAAAACTGGGGGGAAGGGGTGCCCTGCACCCCGCAACGGAGAGGCTCACAGCTCCATGCAATTCCTGGCAAATCCAGCTTCAAAAATAATCCATATATATAAATATATTTGCCCAGCCAGTGAACCTCCCGCCCGCCCGCCCGCCTCCCTGCAGCGCCGGCTCGGCTCTCCCCGAACCAGCCAACTCTTCCCTCCTTAGCTCCAGCTGCGAAAGAAACAATCAGCTGAGCGGCCGCGGCGATTTGAGGCGCTCGCTCCGGGCCACGCGCCGCTCGCCATTGGCCGGCGGGGAGCTCCGCCCACCAGAGGCCCGCCCGCTGGCTGCCGGGCCGCGTCGCTCAAGGGGAGAAGCCCCGCCCACTCCCCTTTCAGCCCCGCCCCTGGCTGGCGGCCCCGCCTCCGGAATGCTTTTCTTAGGTTGGCGCCGCCCGCCCGCCTCGCGTTTGGCAGAGCCCTCTCTCTCTCTGTTTTGCACAGCCGCCTCTGCGCCTTTTCTCGCCCTCCTTTTTACTGGATCCGGCAGGAAGAGGGAGGAAGAGGCCTGTGTGCGTAAGATGCAATGCATTGGAGGAAAAAAAAAATATTTATTTGGGTTTAATTCTCCCCCACCCCTGTTTCTCTTGCGTGCTGTTGCTCTGTGTAGCCAATGAAGCTTGCACCACTTTGCAAAAATGGGGAAAAAAGGCTCTAGGGCAACCGCTTTTCCCTGATGTGCAGAAGAAATCGGGCTTTTTTAGTGCCCTGCAATGCCCCTCCTTCGCCTCCCAGCTGTTTAAAGGGACTTTTGCATAAGTCCTATTGATTGATTTGCTTGCAGCTTCCAGGTGGATCCCTGGTCCCACGCCTGAGCTCTGCGTGCATTGACCTCCAAGGAGGCCCCATGGATTTCAAGGCGGCTTCCGATTTGATGTGCTTCAGAGGGGTGGTCGCCTCGGAGGGCTGGCTCTCTATTCTATAGGATCCCCTGTTGCTAAGGGGAGTTTGGAAAAAGGGCTCTATTTAGGACAGCCAACAGAGGCTCCTCCCGCGTTGCTGTAGGGCATGGGGAGGCAAACTAAGGCCTGGGAGCCGGAGCCGGCCCAGTCGCCTTCTAAATCTGGCCCCTGGACGGTCCAGGAATCAGCATGTTTGTACATGAGTGGAATGTGTCCTTTTATTTAAAATGCACCTCTGGGTTATTTGTGGGGCCTGCCTGGTGTTTTTACAAAAGTAGAATGTGTGCTTTTATTGAAAATGCATCTCTGGATTATTTGTGGGGCATAGGAATTCATTCATTTCCCCCCCCAAAAAAATATAGTCTGGCCCCCCACAAGGTCTAAGGGACAGGGGACCGGCCCCCTGCTGAAGAAGTTTGCTGACCCCTGCTGTAGGTCAATGATGCTCAAAGGCTGACAATCAATGGCTGCTTTCCTCCCTTTTTGCAGTGGGATATTTTGGGTCCTTTCAGAACATGGCGGCACTCTAGCGCTAAGCATGAAGTCATCGGACTGGTTTGACTGGGATGCATCGGGATCCAGGAAAGAAGCCACCGGAACCCCAGGTTGCTTGGGAGGCGACGGAGCCACGTGGACCCCAAATATTTAGCAGAGGCAGGCAACTGGGATCTGCCACCTTCGCAACTGGGGGAGAAGCGAGCAGCCATCTGGAAGGCAACAGCTGCGCGTGGAGGTGAGTTGCTGTTTCTTTGGCACTGTGATGCTGTGAGTAACCAAATATTGCTGAACGGTCGGAAGGTTCAGGACAAAGAAAAGAAGGGACTTCCTCGCGCAGAGTATAGTTAAACTGGAACTTCCGACCTGAAACCATTATTTATTCCCAAACTGACCAAATGCTTTCTCTGCAAGGTCAAAGGAAAATGGAAAAGCCTCCCCATTGTCTTTTCCTTCACAAATCCTGTCTTAAGGGTATGTCTGTGTTTGAATAGGGTGAGCCTGTGACCTGGCTCAGGAACTAAGTATTTATCATTACAAAAGACTGGCCAGGCTCCCCAGGTAATCCAGTCAAGTGAGTATTAACAGGTAACCTGTCAGACGAGAAAAACAACGCACTCGGATTTCTGCTGTAGACTGCCTTTTCTGTGATGTAGGTATGATGTATCTGGGGGGTGGTCTTGGGTTTATACCCCTTCTGTGATATATGTATGATGTATGGAGGGGTGGTCTTGAGCTCCAGGGCAGGGAATTAAAAATGTCTATATAACGGCAGGCACACCTTTGTTCTGGATCCTCCTTCCTCCTGCGTGTGAAGGGGGCACCCTGTTGCAACAGATCAATAAAGATCAAACTTACTAGCTGCTTTGCTTCACAATATTCTCTGGTTGGCCTCTGTTATTGTCTCCTACCAATAGGGAACCTACATAAGGATTCTATATGGGCTCTTGGATACCCCATAAGGGAAAAAGGGCAGATTTTTGTTTACAACAAAAGGAGGCAGGGATGGCCACCAACTAGGATGGCTTTAAAAAAGGACTGGTCAAATTCATGGAGGAGGAAAGGGCTACTAGCTCTGCTTCCATAGTCAGAGGCAGCAGTGTTTCTGAATACCAGTTGCTGGAAACCACAAGAGGAGAGAGGGCTCTTGTGTTCGAATCCGGCTTGCGGGTTTCCCACAGACATCTGGTTGGCCACTGTGAGAACAGGATGCTGGACTAGGTGGGCCACTGGGCCTGATCCTGCAGGCTCGTCTTGTGTTCTTGATGCTAAAAATAAAAAATACGCATTTGCACTTGGCCATGTATTTTTATTTTATTTTTTTAAAAAAATATTTTTACGCTTTCCATTTTACACACCATAACAGCAAAAAAGAAAAAAAACTCCAGATATCATCCCTTTATCCTTTATGCCTAATATGCTTAATAAAGGAATACAGATATCATATCTGCTTTGACTTCCCTTCCCTTCTATTGTGGATCTTTGTTTACATTTTCATTCTCCATTTTATCACTGACTCCAGTTGTTGTTGTTTAGTCGTTTGGTCGTGTCCAACTCTTCGTGACCCCCTGGACCAGAGCACGCCAGGCACTCCTGACTTCCACTGCCTCCCGCAGTTTGGTCAAACTCATGCTGGTAGCTTTGAGAACACTGTCCCACCATCTCGTCCTCTGTCGTCCCCTTCTCCTTGCGCCCTCCATCTTTCCCAACATCAGGGTCTTTTCCAGGGAGTCTTCTCTTCTCATGAGGTGGCCAAAGTCTTGGAGCCTCAGCTTCAGGATCTGTCCTTCCAGTGAGCACTCAGGGCTGATTTCCTTCAGAATGGAGAGGTTTGATCTTCTTGCAGTCCATGGGGACTCTCAAGAGTCTCCTCCAGCACCATAATTCAAAAGCATCAATTCTTCAGCGATCAGCCTTCTTTATGGTCCATGGATGAAGACAATTCCAGTTATTACAAATCCTTAATCAGTCCATGGTTCAGATTTTTGCTGGAAGTCTTCTGTCAAACCTGCTAATAAGTGTAGTTGTTTGGAATAATTTTTCATTTACATGTTATACTTTCCCCCATTCTTTGCTGAAGTTTGATTCTTCCTGGCTCCTGATTCTTCCTGTGAGTTTTGCCAATTCAGCATAGTTCGTTCATTTTAACTGCCACTCCTCTCTGGTCGGAGCTGAATTTTCTTTCCATCTCTGGGGCAGCAACATTCGGGCAGCTGTGGTCACATACATGAACAATTTCTCCTGGTCTTTCGGGATCTCCGCACCTAAAATTCCTAAAACGAAAGCTTCTGGTTTCTTAGAAAAGGTTATTTTCAGCATCCCCCCCAACTCCTAATGTATCATTTCCCAGAAAGCTTTTATCACTTTACATGACCACCACTTGTGATAAAAGGTGCCCTCTTTCTCTTTACATTTCCAGCACATATTATAATTTGATTTATATATTTTAGCTAATTTACTAGGAGTTAAATACAAAGAGAACATAATTATCATATAGTGTAGCATGCTGTAAATTTCAGATCTGCAATCCATAATCTGTCCCACACTGCTAATTCAATATTATAACCAAAATCCTCGCCCAGTGTATCTTCACTGATTTGACCTGTTTGCCAGTCCCATAGAAGTTTATACATTTTAGAAATTAATTTCTTTTTATTTTCCAACACCTATCTTTCGAATCGGGAGGTTTTATATGAAAAACCTTTCTTTTTATCAGTTTAAATACTTCATTAAGCTGGTGATATTGCAGCCAATCGGTTATTAGTCCTCTTATTTCTTCATACCACCTTAATTTTAAATCTTTTAATAATTCTTTATAAGTTACCCAGTCATTCCTCATATTTATTTTTTTCATCGATTTTGCTTCAAGTGGAGAAAGCCACCACAGTATCTTTTGTTCTAATAATTCTTTTTACATTTATGCCACAACTCTCATGCCAATTTCCTTTGTTACGGAAAAATCTAGGCGCAAGGCTGCTCAGTCCCCCAGCTGAGCCCGCGGGTCCCTGCGGAATAAAGGAAGGAGTCCAGCCACCAACCGGAGCAAATAGCTGTAGACCAAAGTTTATTGTGCAACAGGTTCAAAGAGGAATTTTGAACCCCGAGGAGGGGGTGACAAGGACTTTTAAAACTCTCCCACCATATCCCAGAATACAGTTCGTATGGCATCATTGCCACATCATTGCTACATCACTGACATGTCACAAAAGGGGAGGGGTAGACGAGTTATGCGGGGGGTTCTGTGGGTTAAACCACAGAGCCTAAGGCTTGCAAATCAGAAGGTTGGTGGCTCGAATCCCCGTGATGGGGTGAACTCCAGTTGCTCCTGCCAACCTAGCAGTTCGAAAGCACGCCAAAGTGCAAGTAGATAAATAGGTACCACTCCGGCGGGAAGGTAAACGGCGTTTCCGTGCGCTGCTCTGGTTCGCCAGAAGCGGCTTAGTCATGCTGGCCACAAGACCCGGAAGCTTTACGCCGGCTCCCTCGGCCAATAAAGCAAGATGAGCGCCGCAACCCCAGAGTTGGCCCCGACTGGACCTAATGGTCCCTTTACCTTTTAGACAGGGGTTACACTAGTTTAACCTTGGGAAACATATCCAGACATGTCCTTGGTACAAGGTTAACACAAGCAGACATGGCCGGGCAAGACCCAGGTATAAGATTAGCATAGGCAAACACCTCTGAAGTCCCACCACCCAAA